TAGGGTACTTAAAATATGGGTTCAGATGATTTTTGAAGTGGGGCCAAAATCGGCCCCTATATATCCCTCCTTTTAACAATACAAGATGTGACTGTTAGTGTTTACCAAATCGTAGTCGAAGTGACCTGATGATGATGATTAACATGGAAATAGCTATCGTCTGAAAACCGGATAAAAAGTGATCGGGAAAAAGGTAATTTCATCAAGAAAAATTTCGGACCGGGTTGAAAATTTCCGTAATTTTATCTACTTTCAGGTAAGTCCTCACACACTTATTTAAAAAACCAGCGGTTTTAGCGATATTAGCCGAAAAACGAGGTATATCTTTATGATGGCAACCTCCAAGAAAATATTCAGATGTCGAGTTGTTTATTTTTGAATTTTGTCCACTGAGGGCCGCACTGTGCGCCGGTGCGAAGCGTTTTACGTGAGGATTGGTCTGCGTAATGGTGGCAGCTCAGGGGGCGGGTATTTTTGCGTCGGAGGAATCAATAGTAAAACTAATAACTATAATAAAGAACCCCGCACAGACCTTATGGGCAATGGCTCTCTCTAGAATCTGATGAAACTCAGATATGCTGCTCAGCTAGTCATTCTAATCAAGTTCTCATGGGCCGAAAGAGATCCCACGAGCGGTTTTCGAGATATTCGCAGTTTTATGTGCGAAAATTGAGGTTTCGCTGGCTGAACCATTGTGTGGCGCCTCTTGTGCCCTTCCCTTCCAGTCCGTCCACTTCGGCCGCTCTCCGCTTTCGCCTCCCATACCCGAGGCTCTGACTCCCGACGCTCACGGTGATAAGACCACCCGGCTCGGCGGCGATGAGCAAAGCCTCGTGAGCGTCGGAGTCCGAGCCTCGGGTTTGGGAGGCGGGGAAGCGGAGAGCGGCCGAAGTGGACTGGAAGGGAAGGGCACAAGAGGCGCCGCACAATGGTTCGGCCAGCGAAACCTCAATTTTCGCACAAAAAGCGGCGAATATCTCGAAAACCGCTCATGGGATCTCTTTCGGCCCATGAGAACTTTTGATTAGAATGACTAGCCGAGCAACATATCTGAGTTTCATCAGATTCTAGAGAGAGCCATTGCCCATAAGGTCTGTGCGGGGTTCTTTAATACAACATCGATGGTCTGGAACTTTCGGGCGGCCAATTCCAGCGTAAGGTCAAATGAGGATTAGAACAAAAGTACAACGTACGGCGGGGTTGTCAACAAGGGAGAGGGGTATGCACCTATGCTTTATGTGACGTAAAGCAGGCTCGTGTGATATTAGGAAATCTAAGTAAATAAGAAGAAAAATAATAAAAAAATTAACCTTTTACTGTCCTCGGCATCTTGTCAGCCGAATATGCGACAGTTCATACATTATTTAATATTATTTAGCTTTGAATAGACCGAATAAAAAATTAGTAGATATTTTATTTAATTACTCGGCGTTTCATTTTTTAATTTGCGTCAATTAAATATTTGACGTCACTAAGAAAATTGCATTTTCACACTTATACCCTCAATAAAGCAGCTTGGAGGACGAGGCGCATACGTGAAGTTTTTGCTATTTCGAGAAAAACATTTTTAAAGTTTCTAAATTATAATGAAACCTCATGGTGGAAAAAGAGTTCAAACTCACATTAAAATGCTTAAGCATTGGATATTATCAGTAAATTTCACAGACTTTCTTTCAAACCTAGATTTAGTTGGAATCACTAATGTGTCAATTTTTCGAAAACTGCACCTATGCGCCTTGTCCTCTTAGCCCTTCTATTAATTTTTTACCCTTTCTTACTACCTTATAGGTTTTCAAACCGAAACGGACTAACTTTGATCAAAATACCGGGTAACACTCAGTGTCATAAAAATTAACTGATAAACAGATATTTTAAAAATTATCTTTTTTCCATGATCTTGAATTTTGATTCAGACTGAAAGTAACGTCAAATTTACTAGATCAAAATACCAGGATACACCAAATTTTATGAAAATCTGCCGATAAATAAGTAGTTTTCAAATTATGGCCGTCATCTTTAATTTTAAAGAAGTATGGCCACCACCTTTTTCCCACCATCTTTCATTTCAATGCTGGTTAAATCCGACATCAAATTCAAATTCTCGGGGGCAAAATACATGGTTATACCAAGTCTCATGCAAATCAGTTGATAAGCAGGTATCTAACAAAGTATTGCCGCCATCTTGAATTTTGATTCAAACTGAAAGTAATGTCAAATTCAAATCTCCAAGGTCAATATACCAGAGTACACTGAGTTTCATGAAAATCTGCCGATGAACAGGTATTTTTTTTTTAAAAAAAAACATCAATTTAATTTAAGCTGCTATAGTCTAGGTAAACTGTGTATACACCAGACACCCCCCCCCCCGACCATCCCTCTAAGGTACTCCTTCTTTTACTATGGACCATGGCTATCATCATTGATACTAAAAATTTAAAAAATCACCGGATATCCGTGAATCAGGGGCAGACTAAACGATACCAGCCAAAGTTGACAAAAAATAAAAAAAAAAATGTCAAATTGGACACCATTCCATAAAGACCCTTTAAAGTTCTCATACCTTCAGTTAAATTTTGATGTAATATACGTGTTTTGAGAAGAAAATCTCACGCTCTTTTCATTGGTGCCAAAAGTTTAAAGAGAAAAAATTCTGCTAAAGCTGTGTCCTAAAAATTACAGACTAAACTTGAAATTTAAAGAAAATGTTAGCCTTTTTTTCTCGGTTTCTATATCCTCGTGGCTCGGGCCAACAAGTCAAAACTTAAAAATCTAATATATATTTGAAAGCAGAATTTATACTCTGAAAAATTGATAAGAATATTATTTTTCACTGAATGCACTAAAATCACGCAAAATCGGGAGATTGTTGATGAAGTCAACAATCAGTTTATATGTAATTTCAAACGGCCGCCATTTTGTTTTAAGCAAAATTTGACTGTGTTCCCGAGGGGAGCTAATGGTAAACTTCTATTTGGGGACTCTAGACATGTTTTGAAGTGATTTAAAACACCAGAGAAGTTTGTGCTAATTTTTCCGATGTTAGGCCCTTGTTTTGGCTAGTTTGCCTGAATTAAAAAGGATATCGCCATTAAAAATTCAGCAGTAGTATGAAAAAAACTCTTACAAAATGAATAGAACAAACATACTCTCTTTAATCTCTTTTAAGTGGGGGCACTCCAATTTCATGATAGAGAGCTAGAAAAATAGCGCTCAGATGACTCACAAATGATATATCTTTTCAAAATTTAAATTTTTTGTCAAGCTATTGGTCCGACTTGCTAGACCTATCAATTGAAACCATCTACTTATGAATTAATGATGCAAAGCAAAATTCTACCTCTAAGTAGATTAAGACTTGGTGTCACTGAGTTAGGCCCTAGAGATGAGCCCAGCCTATCCTGGTAGTAGAGTTTTATAAATCTTACTTCTTACTTTAACTTTTCAAGAGCTTTCCACATAGTATCCTTATTTTTGGACGCTGTAAATTATCAATATTGTATTCTACAAGTCTGATGTAATCTTTTTGCTGCTGCACCTGTTGTTGTGCTTGCCTGCCAGGGATGCAGATTGTTCTACACCTCTGCAATTTTTTGCAATGGACCACTAGACAAGGTACAAATTTAAGCACTCTGTTACATGTTTCTGAAGCAGAATTTCACGTAGAACATGATTACCTCATCAAAACTTACTGAAATCAACTCTTAACCAAGATATGAACGTTTTTATTGTACATTGATTACGGAAAATTTGAATGACCCGGTCACAAGAAACACAATACTCTACATGAGTCAAATCGCGCCTTACGGGGGTTTTGGCAGGCTTCCCAATCGAGCATTGTTCCTTTCCCACCCTTTAATGTTTAAGGTTTAAACCATTTACTATAGCTGAGCCAAAGTGTCATGATTGAAGTTATAATATTTTCGTATCACGAAGACTGCCATGGTAACGTTTGGTGTGCAATTTGACTCACGCAGATCCTTGAGTTTTCATGAGCGGGAGGTTTGAATTCACGCTTTAAGAAACATGGAATATCTTGGTTAGAAGTCAGTTTTGGTAATTTTGGTTCCTTGAATCGTGTTTTATGTGAAATTTTGGTCGTGATACATACATATATCAGAATGCTCAATTTTGTACCTTGTGTAGTGGTCCAATGCCGGGTCCTTGTCTGGAAGGTCGGAAGGTCAACACAACTTGCTGACCGAAGTTTTGTGAATTTTTCGAATGACTTTTAGATGTGTGCCTAAGTAGCAGTATTTCATAAAAGTTTAAAATCTGAAAACCTTCAAACAAAGGAAGAAGAAGGAAGAAAACAAAATTTCTCAACCTCCACAATTTTTAGGGCATTTCCACAATTTGGTCATGACTGCACAGTCGAAAAAATTTGCACCCCTGATGTTGCCTGCTCTCCTGGCTACCTACCAGCTAGGAAAATTATTTCTGCCCTGAAAACGTTATGGTCCTTGCTGTAAGATAGACCTCTTCACACCCTCACTCATTGAATCTTCATCGCTGTGTCTTGCCTATAAACCATGATGCTGGTAGTTGCTCAGTGCTCACACGACAAATGAAGTACGATTTGGTTACAGCACAGCTGAACACTGTGGACTAACCACAGCCGGATGGTCATGTCCTCCCCCACCATGTCTTGAAGGAACCAGAAAAGGTACTAAAGTGGCATGGCCAACTGCAGCTACAAAGACGGATTTTAAGTATCCTTAAAATCTTGTCCTTAAAACTGCCTTAACCACTGTACTGCACCAATGAGGCTAGCTAACATGATAGAGATAAGAAAATCTGCAAAAATTAGAGGTAATTGACTCGCTAGCCTTGGTTTTGTGACTCCAATAACAAAGCAAGGTTGATGCAATCAGGTCTGAACGAGTCTCTTTTTAAATTCTTGTTCAGGCCATCAGACCATTCAATGGAGGAAATAGACATGAGTTCGAAAATTGAAAATAGATTCAACCTGATTTATTTATTCCTTTTTTTTCTTGTCTTAGAATTTGCAGTCTCACATCAAAACGGCATAATGAAAAATTTTGGAAGTGCTGCTGTGGATAGTACGTCATCCAAAGATAATATACAATTCGAAACTTTGTCTGTCTCTGTTCCATCAGAATTTGTTTACCATGTCCAACTGAATCGCCCAGACAAAATGAACGCCATCAATCACACAATGTGGATGTGAGTATATTTCTCAGATTTTATTGATATTCTATTGCACAGCAAGATCGAAAGTTGACATAACTGATGTAAATATTGTAGAACTTGAACTTGAATAGCGCACACCCTAGAGATTAGATAGACAGTCTCAATTCTCTATCAAAACAGCCTTTTGTTATGCTGACAGTATTTATTTCTTAGAAGTTAAAGATGGCGTAGAGAAGAAAAAGGAGGTGTTTGCATCTTGAGGATTGTTCACTCAGTGACACAGGTCGGTACTGTATGGCGTCGATATTCCAGCAAAATCAGGATGAAAAACGGACCATAACGTCCGATCTGTACGTTTGGCAACTTTTTGCGTAAGTCAACTCATGATATAATTTAAAACACTTTATATAGAATGAATTTTTTCGCTACATTACACAATTTCTACGAAAATCGATGATAGAAATCGTCCGTACCCACCTACATCCTCTAAAAAATCCAAGATGCCGTAAATGCGTACTTACACCTCCTGTTTTTCTCTATGTGAAGATGGAAGTACATTAGAGTGTCCCAAATTTGAACCATCGAAAAAGATGTTGGATCATCGATGTTCGATGGTTTTTTGTGTCATTATGGCAAACATTTAATATCCCCAAATTTGAGCGAAATCGAATGATCTTTAGTGCTGCCGCAACGCGTTTTAAGTCGCCGCGAAAATTTTGGAGACTCGCCTTTTCAGCGTTTTAGAAGCAACTTATAAAGTCAGTTAGCAGCAATTACAGGCATTAAATTATTTTTTATCGTGACTTTCCATAGTATACTTACAAGTAATAATGTTTGTTTTGACACCTATAAAAACCTAAAAATTTTACTTCGAACTCCTTAAAATCGACGAAAAACTCGATTTTTCCCTTAGCAACTAGTTCAGGACTTATATGAAAGTTAAGGAAAAAATTAATAATAACCTACTTTTTGGCATAGTGGGTCCTTACGACCCCCTGATCCCCCCAGAAAAGTACTCATTAATAGCGTGACGGGTTTGGAATGGGGTGGGGGGTGGGATCAGTGCCCCAAAATCGCTTTGCCGGCGAAAACACAAGGACAGTTGGTCGTAGCACTACGAATAGCACCATTTTCTGAATCCTCGTAATATTTTGGAGCGATATGCCTCTTTACCGTTTTCCCGCAGCCCCCGATACCTCCCCCCTCCTTGCAAAAATATTATTTCAAGGCATAGTTTTGGCAATAATTCTGCAGGAAAAGTTGATCAGGGCCTGTTCAACGTACATTATGATAGAAGAAAATAATGGAGTATAATCTTGGTCTTAAATATTTTGACTTGGACCTGGTTCTAAAACGTTAGGAGGAGTGGGGCCGAAGGGTTGATTGACTTACAAGAAAATGTTGCGTAAACTTTAGGTCTCAGTTCCAAGTCAAAATATTTACGACCAAGATTATACTCCATTATTTTCTTCTATCATAATGTACGCTCACTGTTTGACTCGCATTACAAACTGCTAAGGGCGGGGGAATTCTTGACGGATGGGGGGGGGGGGTTAGCTTCAATTTGCAGGTGACAACTCCCTTCCCCCTCCCTCGTTTATTTTTTCATTAGCCTATGCTTTGAGTCCTAAATCATTTTCATAGAGATTCAATTGATCTCCTTTGAAAGCCCCTCATTGCCCTTTCCTGGTTGTCTTCTTCACTTTGGCATCGTTACTTTTTCTTATTTATCTCCATCTCATATTTGTCATATTTATCATATCTCAAAATTATAAAATAAAAATGTATACTGAACATAGGGCGATGAATGATAATGGTCAAATACCGCTAAAATTCAACAATTGTGCGTAATTTTGGCAATATTGCAATGCGTTCTGTCTTTTATTGATGAGATCAATCTGTAGAGTACATTTAATTCATTATTTTCCATCAGAAAAATTCCCATTAATGTTTGAAAATGTGAGTTCTGGACATGATTCAACAAAACTCACTGTTTTATGAATTTTGCCTCTTTGGACTAAAAACAATAGTTATTAGTTTAAATCTAAGTTGATAATTAGATTATTCTACAGAAGTGTATATTTTTTCGTAAGCATCTTATCTCAGCAGAAAATTCCAGACATATCTGTTAGCTTTTAATCACTTTCCTAATTTAACTCAAGTCTCTGCAGGAGCAGAATAAATATATATATCCCACTAATGAGATCTTCATGAATGCTGTGTGATGTATGGCTCTGGTAAAACAATCACCTCTTATTACCTATCACAGCTGTTTAGGCGAAATTCATAACTGTGCAAGAAAAGGCAGAACTGGTTATTACCTCATTGTCAACATTCTTATCAGAAAAAAGCACGTTGGAGCACACACTAACTCTGTCCATTATGTCTTAGCATGTACGCATTAATTCACTATCTCTCAGAGCAAAGTACAAGAGTTTTTATCTATTATATCATCTCCATTTCTCAGGAATAATTTTGTCCAAAGCTAAAAGTTTATTAGATTTGTATTTACTTGGCTGCGGAAGAAATAAGTGGTTTCACTTTCAGCCCATCTCAAATCTAGGGCTTGCTCTAAGAAACTAGATTTTGGAAATCAGGCTCTCTTTCAAAGTAATTTACTCAACGTCTCTCATATATGTACAGAAGGAGAGAAGGTTAACAAGTCACCAAAGAAAGTCACATTATATTTTATGAATTTAACTGCAAGTTAAATGGAAACCCTTTCATATCTTGTGCAAAGGTAAGTGGGTAAAGTAAAGTGGGCATAACAATGAATCCTAGCCCCTCAAACTTAACAACTCCTGAGATCTCACATCATTTCTAAAGATAATTCATGAAAGTAATTCCCAGAACGATTTAAAAAAGTTTTTGGTAATATTTGAAGTAAAATAGAAGAAAAGGGAATATAAGAACACAAGATAAGAATTCAGGTACAGTAAGACCTCGATTTATCGAATTTCATGGGACCGAAGGTTCAATCTCTTTAATTGCGTAGTCCGTTGATTTGAAATATCGGATTTTGGCGAAAATCGACAAGAATCGATAAGCTCTGAGGTTTTTCTGGAAAAATTGTAAAAAATCTCTATTTTTCCATGTGAAAGTGTTCCTTCAGGCAAATCAGGAATTGTTCCAGATTGTATTTGTAGTGGCGTATAATTGTCTTACCTCCTGTTGTGTCTGACAACCCATCTGGATCCTCAGATAAAAAAGGACAACCAATAAGAGGACAAAGAAAAGTACCTCATCTGTCGTTTTCCTACCTATGAAGAAAATGAGGCTCAGTTTGAAAGAGAGAAAAGACAGAATGAATACGTTTCACCACAGATGATGAACTTGTTGGATTTTTGGGAAAGAACAAAGAAGCTCGCTCAGTTCCTACCCAGTATTTTTTACACTGCTCCCTACATACCTTTTCTTCCCCATGCAAATGCAAGTTTTCCTTTTGTAGTTGAAATCCATTTATTTCGTACTCCTAGTCCAATAAACTTAAGGCATATTTTTTGTTTGAATGCGCATGCATTTTTTAAAATCAATTTGGGATGACATTACATGACATAATATCACGTGAGAATGTCACTCATCTTGCTAATTTAAAAGGAGAAAAGAAATATTAACCGAGTATTACAATTTGTGAATCGAATCAGTTCCAGATTTCAGTCCGTTCTTCATCAGAAAAAATTAACATTGCTCTTGTGGTCCTCTTGAGGGGACCAGCAGATCGATTTATTGGGGTCTTACTGTAGTTAGTAAACTGGCTTGCCCCCTTTGTCTTAATTTTTGTAGATAATTCTGGAAAGTTTGAAACAGAGAATTGCCTCTGCTTTGATGAAACGGAGGAACAATGTGATCAAATAGAATGCAAGACACCATTTCCTCAAAATTTAAGTTAAAAATTGTGAGGTCATAATGTTTTTGTGAAAATGAGAAATAGTTGTCGTTAAAAGTGACAGGACATCCCTCAAGGTAAATTATATTGTCTCTAATATTACTTCTCCTTCATGATTTAGCACTCTCTTTCTTTGCTTCTCTTTATTCTCTGTTCAATCCATAATCTTGGGTAAGAAAGTTTTCTGAATGTAAGAATGTTGTGGAGAAAAGGAGACTAAAATAAAAACGATTAACAAATATTAGGGGAAAAGGTTTAGAAAATTATGAACTTTTCTCTTGCAAGTTGTTTTTTTATTGCTTTGGAAGATATAAGCTCAAACAACTAATTTAAGAAGATAATGTATAATCACCGATAAAGAAGAAACATGTTTTTTCAGGCTCCATGTGATTGCTCTGGAAATTTCCTAACTCTAAGATGAAGTGCATCAAGAAAGAGACACACTTAGAAGCATTTTAAATCTTATAAAGCGGCAGAAAGCGTATTCAGCCATTCTGCAAAAAAATCCAGGTTATATCTGAATACATCTTCCTATAACAGAGGCTAAAAACGCATTTGAACTTCTCCCTGGCAGACATGTTATTCAGTGCAACACTAGTTATGCCCAGTTAGGAAGGCAACGATGGATGCATCTGGGATCAGTTGGTCCCATCATCAGAACAGCTTAGCCTCCTGATTTTCCCTTATTACTGTCGGAGATGATGTTCCGGAACTTCAGGGGAAGAGCAACGAAAAACTTTTCCTTTTTTTAAAAGAAAAAGAAAAAGAGTTTGTTTTTAAACTAAAGTTGTCCCTAGTCGCCGTGTTTTGCAGAGACAGATTTGCTCTGATTTAAAAAAAAAAAAAAAAACCCCAAAGCATTTTTCATCTAGCTCTGGGTGTGTGTGTGTGTGTGGGTGTGTGTGTGTGTGTGTGTGTGAGGGTGTGTGTGTGTGTGAGTGAGAGAGAGAGGGTGTGTGTGTGTGAGAGGGTGTGTGTGTGTGAGGGTGTGTGTCAGATTAACACAGCCAATTAATCAAATTGTTTATTTTCTTTTCACAATTCCTATCGAGAAAACAGAAGAAATGTTGGGCTGTGTATATTGTGAATTACTTTTTATGAAGGACTCACACACTTTAGAAATGAAGCGTTTTCTCAAGAATTAGAAATCTTCATATGCTGGGCAATTTTTATTGAGTTACATGGGCAGTCCCTATCTTCACCATGCAAACTGTACTGATGTTAACGTACATTTTTTTCAGGTACTAGATGCATTTTCAAAAACTTTTTCTAGCTTCAGATGAGAAAATTTTGAAAATTTCTGAAAATTGAAATTCTCATGAATTTTTAATTTTTTCTTTTCAAAGCTAACTTGGCCTTCAAAATCATTACTTTTTTCTGTTGATGAATAATAAAATCACACTCTCTCGTCTGATGTTAGAAACAAAGGTAAGGAGAAGAAAAAAAACTGTTATTGAAAATCCATGCATCACCTTGATCCTGAGAAAAGTGTACCTTAAAGTAAAACAATATAGTTTTGAGAAAAATCTGTTCATAGTTTTGAACACATATAAGGTTTGCATCATCCCATCTGTCACAAAACGATGCATAATTTATTCAATAATGATCAGATTTTAAACATTTTTTTTTTTAAAATACAGCCAAAGATATGCAGAACTTGTTTAGAAAAAGGCCGAAATAAGTTTTTGGAACCAAAAAAAGGCTGCCTACTCCCCTTATAGCACAGTGTAATGTAATTTTATCTAATTTTTTCGTATCATTAAAATTCGTGACATCATTTTATTTTTATTTAACGAAAGTTTTTTTTTTTTTTTTTTGAGAAATATTTTTTTTCAAATGTAATTTCATCTCATCTCCTAATAAATGAGGTTGTGAGTTGTTTCAAAAGTAACAATTTATCAACCTATGGCATCCTTAATGTTTTTGTAACGGTTTAAATCTGAAGCAGGAAGATTAGGAAGAAAAGTAGCAACTCAAAGATAAAAGGAGTTGCAGAAGTCAACCTCGCGTGGACCAGCCACACCTCTTACTTTTATCACCTCTCATACACATGCTTCAGCATGCCTCCTGCAGCTTGCATGGTGTCACGCAGCTGAGATTACTTAACATTTTATCAATTTTTTGTGTCTGTTGGTATTCTGTGAAGTGAAAGCTTAAAAATCCCTGAATTGTTTGTTGTTTTTATTAACTTCCTTCTCGTGCAGCGTTTATCTTATCCAGTTAATTTTAGTTCATTAGGAATGAATCACATGCTGCCAAATTATTAGAAAACTCAACTCAATTGCTGGACACATTAGGGAACTAATTTGCTACTGAACAACTAATTTGCACTATTTTGCAACCAAGGCCATTAGAGCACCTGCTCAGGAGCAGGATTAAAGGTAGTGCATGAGGTGGCTGATTGATTAAATATCCATTCCATTCTTTCAGACAAGGATGAGCCCTTCTTTGTACTCCCCTTAACTAATGAAAAGTGAAATAACTTATTTGTCTCCCGGTCTCAAAGAAATGCAAAAATGTTACGAAAATATGTTCCTTCTTTTTTTATTTACCTTTTGAAACAAGTTTCTATTTGGGTCCTCTAATAATTTAGAGAAGACCTGAGCATTATCTTAAATTTGGCCCATTCAGTCTTTTAGCAAGGCTAGTAGGCGCAGTAAAGCAGGAAAACTCATTCAACTGGTCTATTTCTGAAGTTTTCATACTTTTTTACAGCCTGGGTCACACGATCAAGTTTAGCTCTTCAATCCAACAAGGTTGCTGCTGTTATTAGCTGCTCGCCCATCATCACCTGAGAGGACAGCTATCAAATTGACGCTGCGTGCTTCCGTTTGATAGAACATCAGATTCTGAAAGGTCAGGCAAAGCATGAGATATGAAATCTAGGCTTTTAGTGACTACAGCCAGAACCTATTTCAGCCGTAGAAATCCGTCCTTGTCAGATTGATAGGCTCAGTTACATCGCGTGACCCAAGCTTGCTAGTGTGCTTTACTGTCATCAAAAAATTGTTGAATAAAACCGTTTCAGGGACCTGAAAAAGTGCTTTTCAGTTCTTGGAGAAGATGAAAATTGTAGAGTTGTAGTCTTATCTGGAGCAGGAAAACTGTTTTGTGCTGGTAAGCCGTTTCATCTTTCTTTTTCTCTTAATTTCATTTGCTTTTACAAGTTGTCATCAAAAAATAATTATCAATGTTTCATACTAACGAAGATTTTTTATGAAAAAAATCTCACCCCCCTCCCTCCTCTCGATGGTGTTGCGTTATCTTATATGCACGGGAAGTGGTGGTCAAGGTTATGATTTTTGGGAACTCCCTCCAAGATGAATTGTCCAATCTTCACCTTTCGTAAAGCTCCCCCCCCCCTCCCCCCTCAACTTGCTGCTGCCGATAACTCAATTAAAATGAAGGATATCAAAGATGAAGGAGTTACGCCATATCTAAGCAGCTTGAGGAAATCATGTTCAAAATTGGACATTATTTGGAAGCTTATGATGCAAACTCTGGACTTAATGACAAAAGAGTAAGCTCCAGTGTTTACTTTTTCAACAAAATATTCTACGATACAAGTTTTAGGCAAGGTAACTAAAATTTCAATAACTACAGAACTGTCAGTCAATTTTCTCGTTATTCATATGATCAGAACATTTTTGTAGAAAAGTACAGATCGCATTTACCCATTCCAGGATTTCGTAGAACATAAGAAGTGGGAAACTAAAGAGTCTATTAAGGCAGGTACTGTATTTCAACAGTTTGAGGCAAATTCTTTGGTCTCAGATCAGGATACGGACATGTAATGTGCCTCAGCACAGAAATAAAGCACTGCTCAGTATAGCTCTGTGCTAGCCCTTCGGAGACTAATATCATATTATCTCTCATTTTACTCCTGGGTTGCTTTTGAATTTAGTTCTGATCTGGAGGATTAAACTCTCCAAATAAGTCGATTGTTAACCATTACATTTATCTTTCATCTCCGCCAATTCAGGTTGGAGGGGCAATGCTTCCCTGGCGTACATAGATGCCGCGCCACTCTTTTTTTGAAGCTAAATCAGAATTTTACTCTTTGTTTAACTATCGCCCTCTCTTAAAATTAAACTCCTCGTATAAAAAACTGTAATGTTGAGAAAGACCTTCCTCCCACACCTCCCCATTCATCCTAGGTGCATAGTAAAATTTGAATTTTCTCCACGACGACCTAAAGAGATTGTTTCCTCTTATTTCTGTCAACACTTCCTTCGTTTCGAATAAATTTGATTTTTTAGAAAGTAAAATATCTTAACTGATAATTTCAACTGAAAAACACACCAACTGACTGCTTCTCTGTTATGAAAGGTTGGGCTCATTTACTATCCCATCTTCTTGAGTGTCTTGTTTGATAAGCCGAGCAGTGCACACGCTTCGTGCTAGACACGCTCCGTTATTGCAGTAAATGATCTGATAAGTTCAATGTTCCACCAGTTGTCAAGTTTAGTGGTGTTATAACTAAAAATGTAAACATTAACTCCACACTGTGTCGCGCTTTGCGCGGATAAAAAGTGAATTTGGCAATGGAGTCTACAAGTGATGGTGATAGTGACATTCTCCAAACCCAACAGGCTTCCCTGCCTGCCACGTCAACGGAATCGACAGCTAACCTAGAGGAAGAAATTCTCTCAGCGATCAACTCTAAAGTGAGTCTGGATAATAGGTAACAATCCTAATGCTGCTAGTAACAGAATCCACCAACTCAAACAGGTTTTGAGTAAAGCACCGGAAGTTCTAAACAAACTCGCCTCAGAGGAATCTAGGGCCGAACGAACAGTCAATGACTTAAAAATTGAGACGTCTATACTCAGAAATGAGCCGGACCAAGTGAAATCTTTTATAGAAAGCATAAATGCCAACAAAAATGTTTTTGTTCAAGGTCCAAATATGTTGATAAATCAAGATAAAATCTTTGAAAATCACCAGAACCTAACAAAAAATAGCTTTGAACTATTAAATGAAAACGGTAAAACATCGAGCTCTAAAGATGCAACAACTGTAAATAATAATGTTACCGGAACTGAAACCTCGGCTACAGTTAAGGTAAATTTAAATGCAGACACTTTTTATGTAGTCAAGCCCAGAACTAGGAAAAGACCTGCGATTAATCAAAGTGTTACAGAAACAGAAAAAAACACTCCACAACAATCTGAAATCATTCGGTCTCCAATCACAAAGAAATCAAAAAATCTTAGGTAAACTACAATAGTCTCTCATCTGTCCAATTCTATTGTTAATCAAAGCACTCAAAACATTCAAACATCCACTCATGGTACTTAAGTTCCGCTAAAAACGGATCCTAAAAAACCCGACAACACGCAAGGTCAAGGAACATATACAAATACAGACAAAAAAACAAACGACAGCACAAACGATGCAGATCAGACAGAAAAGAAGAAGAAAAATGCAAGGGTTATTATGCAGATTACCGGCCCCTGGGCATATCGAGTTTCTGATCTTCCTGTCGGCAGGAGTTGGTTTCTAACTTTACAGAAAGGTAAAATACGGTGGCGGAAACGTCTCAAAACACATGAAATGTGGTTTTCAACGAAAACACATGAACGAAAACACATGAAACGAGGTTTTCAACGACAATTTGTAGGTTAAAATTGGCGATATCGTCGGGTACGCGGACGGGTCATAACACGCTGCCANACAGCCGCTTGTCAATCGAGCACTGAAATGAGGAATCTTTCTGGCTTTTTATCACCGAATAATTGAATCTTCTCATAGGTTTTTTGCGATAACGGTGCATCGTAGAAAGTTGGCGCAACTATAACTTTTGACCAGCATCTTGAGGAGAATCGATAAACATAAGTCAGAAGGCAATTCTTCATAGTGCAGCTTCCCATAAGAGGTGTGCGGGGTCCTTTAGCCTGAAATCTCTTACGAAAAATGTCGTCAAAGTCTTTCCAGGAAACTTGGGAAAAATGTGGCCGGACATTTCGGGACGCTAAATTTCAGTTCGTCACCTATGAGAACAAGATAACCTGCCCGATCAAAGTCGTGGTTAAGGGACCACACCAATCCGCCGACCCCGAGGAAATAGTCAAGGAACTAAAGGACAGAGGCTTCAAAGCAATCAATGCCAGTAATGTGAAGACTGTAGAATGGATCGAGATCCAGCAACCCCAGCCTCAACCGGGCCAGGAAGCAGAATCTCAACAACAGGTCTACCAAAAACAATTTAAGTAAAAATTAATAAGTCTTCCTATTTTTCATATAGCCTTTGAAAATACCCAAGATGTGGAGGAAGTTTTTAACATTAAAAGTATCCTTCATACAAGATTAGTCGTAGAACCCCTTAAGAAAGGGGACGACGATAGTGCCGCCGTTGCCAATCTTACGGACGTACTCGTAGATACTGTTTCAGGGCTCCTCACTGTGTTTGGTGCACAGGGGAACATTTTTCAGAACAATGTGAGTTAGGTCAATTCACAAAAGATCCGCTGTGTGTAAATTGCGGGGAAAAACACCCCGCGAAATATAGAGGATGTGCTGTTGCCAAAGCCATTCAATAACAGAGAAGAAAACCCACTGATAAAGATAAAAAAGATAAGAAAAATAATAAAGAGGAGACTATGCTCAAGCAGTATAGGCGCCAATAATGGCCCCCGTTTGCGAAGCACAAACATGGAGACAGCTATATCCAGCTATACCCAGACCCAGATATACCGGCCGCCTTGCGGTGTATTCTAATGAGTCCGCTGTAGCATAGCGCGCTCAATAATTATTTTTTACAATCAATTAAAAACAATGGTGGCGTGTTGGACCACCTTAAATATATCAAGTATCATTGCCTGCCTCCTAGGATTTAAAATGTAGAAGAGAAAAGAGCTCTTTTTTGCTATACATTCCTTATTGACGAGGGCTCTTAACATCATTGTATTTCAGTCTGTGAACTATGTATTTATGAGGTTTTCCAATCACTTTAAATCCAATGGTGATGTGTTGGGCTACCTTAAAGATATCAAAGTATCATTGCCTGCCTCCTAGGATTTAAAATGTAAAAGAGCTCTTTTTTTGCTGTACATTCCTTGTTGACATCATTGTATTTCAGTCTGTGAGCTATCTATGTATTTGTTTTAAAAAAATTTTAAAAAAGAATAGAAAATAAACACTTTTTAAACACGCTCGTTTATTTTGTAAGGTAAGACCGTCATTATCTACTTGCTGAGAATTATCAGCAACACTCACTTAGCTCTGATTTTTGGCTGGCCATTCGGAATGGTGCCACTTGTGTCAGAGAAATACAAATATTTTCGCACACCATTCACACATTCCTAATGTTACGCATTCGCGCAAACCTGCCCTCGCTATTCGCGCAATCCTGTATCACCATTAGAAACCAATCATCCCACAAGTTTCAAGTCCTTACCTAAATTAAGTTAAAAGTTAGAAGGGGTGAAAGGGACTTTGGATCACCCGGTTTAATGTTAGTTACCTACCCTCTTTGATTGATCTCTTTGATCCCTTTGATTTCATCTATTTTCTTGTTAAGTTAATGTGTACTTAAGTCAACCACTGAATCTGGTATCCTTGGCATTTGTTTTGTTTATTTGAAGGAATTGATCTCCATGATATGATTCAAGTGGGCATGAAACTGGGAGAGAAGGAAGACATTGCTCGCAAATGTAAAATTCTCAAGAATCTCATTACAAATTATCAAGAGTCTTTAACAGCAATTGAAAAGGTAACATTTCTTCCTTCATTTTATTAAACCTAATTCAATTCGTTGGTGGCACCCTTTTTTCTTTTCTTTCTTTTTCCAATTCAGCATCTGAAAGAACAGAGTAACTTCGGCTTCTAAGAATCGTTTTAGATTTGTTTAATCCTGAATGGGGGGCTTGGAGGACAAGAAGCATAAAGGCTGTTTTTGCTGTTTTGAGGAATATGTCTTTGAAGTCTCAAAATTACATGGATCCTCATGATGGAAAGAAAGTTCAAACTGATATTTTGATGCTTAAAAAATGGAAATTAGGGAGCGATATTTACAGAATGCACCAAGACTAGTTTTACTTGAAATCATTAATGTCTGAATTTTTGAAAAAACTACACCTTTGCGCCTTGTCCTCTGAGCCCCTCATGACAAAAAAATCCCGTTTTCCAAATGCTCGAAATGGGATAAGTTTGGTACAATATTTTTGGCGGTTTCTGATTATGTAGGCAGGCTGGGGAATTGGCATTCATTGATCGGCTGAATTCTGCTTCAGGCATCGCCTTGGTATGTCAACTCTACTGTCAGCTTCTGATCGGTTGGATTTTGATTAGTTTTTTCTCTCCTTAGTAATGATGTTTTGAATTTTTCATGATCTTTTTGGTTTTTTAACAAAATTACACGTCAGAAAAACTACAAGCTACTTACTTGACAAAATTCCTTGCCACTGCCTCATCATTAAAAATAACCCGATTTCTCATTTCTTTCAGGCTTTATTGAAGAGTGCTCTCTTACCTCTTAGTCTAAGACAGTCCCAAAGTGGTAAAAATTTGACAATGTCTCTTCTTAAAGTTGGCGTAATTCGGCGGTACAGCACCGTCGAATAAAACGTTACTCGGCGGTACGGTACCTTCAAATAAAAAGTTTTAGATCGTATTCAATACATCAAGCAGGTGAGATTGTATCGATATCGATTGGTTCAAAACATAAACATAACCTCAAAAGTCAATTTAGAAATTGGAGGAAACGGGTCTTTTGTAACAGATGTTTTACTTTTTGAAGACCAAATTCCAATGCAAAGTGAAATTTTTAGGAATGTTCTCATTTTCAGATTTTCCAACTTAAATCCGAATAGATTAGTTTGAAGTTATGCTCTATTGTTTTGAACCAAACGATACATCGAACTATACCAAATACGGTATATTCAGTGGTACCGTATCCTGACGGGAAAATTTGCCTAAGTATCGCTAAATAGGCCTGTTGCACCATTTTTTTATTGCTTTAATCGAAAGATTTAAGGCTCCTTATGTCATAGGAATTTTCCTGGCGTTTTTTGATCACCAGAAACCCCCAAAAAATCAACTTAAAAACGCCTCAAAATTCGAATTTTTTAACGATCACTTTTACGCGGGGCCGGATCCAGCACACTCGTTACGTCACACCGCATGACTTACCTGGTCTTTTCATCACTTACAATGTATTTTCCCATAAGGAATTGGCAGCCGCTTTTCAAATGCAAATATCGAGTCAATCGATGATTTTTGAACAAAATGGAATTCAGAAATGGATTCCTTGGACGTTTAAATGGTTAAAACCTTCATTAGATAAATGAGAATCTACAGGATAAACCTACTTTTAAGGAAGACTGTTGTCAATGGGCGATTGTTTACATCTGCCACAGTGATGACAGACATGGATGTTAGCTCAATATTTAGCCATTTCCATGAGTTTTTACTTTTTTGTCACTGTTTGAAGGTAAGTTTCTTTTGTAAATCAATTGTTTAATGCCTCAGGATCATGTTAAAATCTGTCAAGGTACCCATTGTTACTTCTTTATGCAGAACACACTCTGGCAGTCCAATGCTCAAACCTGGATGTAGCAAGTCAGTTGTAATTTCTTAATATTTTACCCTTCGATGTTGCACTGAAGACACCAAAATGATAGTATCAATCATTGATGATAAAAAAAACTTACCTTTGACAATACTGATGAAATGAGGAGAACGGTATGTTTTAGATGGAGGCAAAGAAAGTAGACGTAGGATCCCTCCTGGTTACCAGACTTATCAATACATTTCTCTGCATATTAATACATTAAAAACACGGTATTTTAAAGTAACATCTATATTATTATATTATCTATATTATACAGCTACAAGCAAAATCTTGGAAGCACTATTTCTGACGAACTGCCGGACCGATAAGGATGATCTTTACATGTATGTCATCTGTAGTAGATGTAGATGTGCAAAAAATTATGAAACCCCGAACTTTTAATGTTGTAGAGCTTTTAAAGCTCATGTCCCTTAAGTCCAATGTTAATAGCGTGAGAGATATGTCGTTTCCGCTAGAAACGTCAAGGTGTGGGATTCTACCTGAGTGACTCGAATAAACAATAAAACAATGGAAAAGCTTGTGAAGGGCTCCTCATTCGAAGAGTTGAGGAACGGTGCATCGCTCAGGGTTCAAGGTTCAAGGTCCAAGGTGTAAGGTTTAACTCAATTTTTCCTGCATTCTTTCGGCTTCGATTTGTGGCATTGGTCAATTTTCTTGATTGCTGAATTTCTTTTAATATTTACAGCAGATAGGTAAACATCAGATACAAAGCGAGAAGGCAGGCGCTACGTCGCGTCGGGACGGACCAAATATTATTAACTCTTAACGGTCGAAATCCGATTTTTTTTTTTTTTTAAATTAAGTATTTGAAAATAAGATAATGAATGGAAATTTCTCCAGTAAGTGGACTGTGAAATTACGTACATCCAGCTATTCCTCATCATTTACAAATCTGAGTGTTACGTCAAAAATTTTGAAATTGATGCAGCTCGAACACGAAATGGTGTGTTAAAATGGAAGAACATTTTTGCCTACACGTATGCGTACAGGGCCCGCGAAGCGGGCCTCAGGGCGCGAAGCGCCCTCCCGGGGGTTGGGCCGCGTAGCGGTCAGGGGGCGGGGCCCCCTAGTAAGTGTATAAAACGTGGGAATGTTCCGAATGATATTAAGATGTTTGTTGAAGAGTTAAGAATGATTTACACGCATTGAGAGAACATCCAGGGTTTGAACGTTGAACTGCTGGAGTGTGTTCTGAATTAATGAGTAACAATGTGTACCTTTACAGATTTTATCATGATCCTAAGGCATTAAATAATTGATTTACCTAAGGAACTTACCTGTGACCAAAAAGTAAAAACTCATGAAAATGGCTAAATGTTGAGCTAACTTCCATGTCTGTCATCACTGTGGCAGATGTAAGCAATCGCCCATTGACTACAGTCTTCCTTAAAAATAAGTTTATCCCGTAGATTCTCAATTATCTAATGAAGGTTTTAACCATTTAAACGTCCAAGGAATCCATTTTGTTCAAAAAATCATTGATTGACTCGATATTTTCACTTGACAAGCGGCTGCCAATTCCTCATGGAAGAATGCATTGTAAGTGATGAAAAGAGCAGGTATGTCACGTGATGTGACGTAACGAGTATGCCGGATCCGGCCCCGTTTAAAAGTGACCCTTTCGAATGGGTTGGATCAAAAACAGCTTTTTAGTGTATTTTCCGAAGGAAATACACTATTGCGTTCTCCCATGTCAGACCTGGATCAGACACCATGTAATGAGCATCGATCATGGGTCGTAGATTACGAATATGTATGCCGTTCAAATTCATGATATATTATTTATATATATATATATATATATATATATATATATATATATATATATGTGTGTGTGTGTGTGTGTGTGTGTGTGTGTGAGGGTGTGTGTGTGTGTGTATGTATATATACACATACACGTGGTTTTTCCGATTTTTGCTGGGTTATATTTCCCTCATTTGAAAAAATTTCCGGGTAAAACTTTTTGCGATGTAAAGTAGAGGAATAGGACTACCATTCTGCGAAAAAAAAAAACGGAGATCGAAGTATTACATTTCAAATGGTGGGGGCGAGAAGTGGGGGGAGGTTCAATTTTGTGGGCGCGATAACTCGCGCCAATTGGAAGCTTTCCCCGCGAAATTTTTATAGAAGGTAGATCTTATTTAGTTCTAGGCTGGTATTGAATTTGAGCGAAATCGGTCGAGCCGTTTAAAAATGGCGAGCTTTGAAAGTTTTTGGCGGGGGGTGTGCGGCAAAAGAGGAGGGAAGCCGCACAGTGGGTCACGACCTGAAAATTGGTGGACAAGACGGCAATGTCGTCGCACAGTGGGTCACGAACTGGAAGTTGGTGGACAATACGGCAATGTTGTCGCACAGTGGGTCACGAACCGAAAGTTGGTGGACAAGACGACAATGTTGTCGCACAGTGGGTTATGAAGATTCATCCATCGTCATTCAAGCTTGCCACGGCGTTTGTTGACATTTTTTCATATCAGACATTACATGAGGATTGTTGTTGCAATCTGGCGACATGAAGTCCTTATTCGAATAATCAATGCCTCCAACAGTGTAAACGTAAATCCAACCTCCAAAGATTGATAACTCTCCGCCCCCGCCCCTCCCTTAGGAAAATAAATCCTTCCCTCGGTGGACGCGCGAGTCACTTAAAAGACATAGCAACTGAGGCCGGACACTCAAACTAAAAAACACGCGCGTCCAGGGGGGCTTGAAGAGGCGAAGCCCCCCCCCCAAAAAAAAAAAAAAAACCGGTGCGGAGCGAAGCGGAGCGCCGGTTTTGTGAGTTTGAGAGGTCATTTCAAGCTTTTTTAGTAGCGCCATTGTTCTTTTCGTGAAATTTGCCATTAGAATCAGTTACCGATTCGCAAATCCCCGCACTTTGCAACAGGCTTCAACCTCAGGCAAACTTCCTACCACTAGGGTGCTTAACTGATGACTTTAACCACTAACCGGGAAACTTCCTACCCCTAGAGTGCTTCCGCTGGATGAGGAAGCAAACACCATCTACAGTGATCTAATGGTAATATCTGGCTGCGAACTTTGAGACAAGAGTCTTAAATCTTTGGAGAAGGCAAAAAGTAAACTGAGGCTAAGGGACTGAAAGAAAATTTACCTCTGTATACTTTCTGTATTCTCAAAAAATTCGAGACTTTAGTCCCAAATACCACAGCCAGATAATACCAATAGATCACCGTGGATGGCGTTTGCTCACTCATCGGGTGGAGGCAGCTTAGCAGTAGGAAGTTTTCTGGTTAATGGTTATAAAGTCATCCGGTCAAGGCACCCTAGAGAAAGGAAATTTTCAGGAAACTAAAGACCATAAAAGCGACAGAATTCATCCCTAATTTATAATCTCAAAACATCATATCTCCGTTGATAACTAGTTTTGAAATTTTAAATATTGTAAAGACACTTCCCCGAATCTTGAAGTGTCATCATACCGAGTTCAGCAAGATTCTTTGATCAGTTTTCCTGCTTCAGCTGGTCGATTGTAAAAAAAAAAAATCGCGAAAATGGACAATTCCCATCATATCTTGTGTGTGTTGATTGTTGTTCAGTTTGTTTTAATTCCTAAGTATCACAGATTAACTGAGAACAATCACTGTTACAGTGTCCGAAACCAGTAATTAGTGCAATCCATGGTGGATGCATCGGCGGCGGTGTCGACATAATTGCTGCGGCAGACATTAGATACTCATCCTCAGATGCCTGGTTTCAAATCAAAGAAGTAGATATTGGTAAGTCGATAGGTTAATATAAGGGGTTTTCCATATGCTGTGTTGCGAGATTTTTCCGATTTTTTTAAACTCACCTACCCCTTGTAACGCGATTGCAACGCTGGTCATGACACCTTCAAAATAATTACATAACATTTACCTAGCCCTTTTCCCCCTTTTCACAAGAAAACTTAAAAGAGAATTTCTCTCTGAAAAAGAGGGTTGGGTGTAGCTTTTCTTAAGTAGACGGCTGTGTTTTTCAAGAGACAAGGAAAAATAAGACAAAAAAAGTAGCGTATAAAACTGGAAACGAAAAATATTAGTTATCCAGGAACAGGAGGCCATACCCCCTAGCAACTACCCGGTTTGTAACCCCCAGAAAACTCTCTGTGAGTCCTTGTTACTTACAAAATCTCAGTAGATAGCCATGGTAAGGAAAACGATGGTATGCTTTTCCCTTATGTAAGCAACCGAAATTAACAAAACGCCCTGGTCCGTTCGTCTTGACTCGGGGGAAATCTGAAACCAAGGAGAGATTGGACCAATGAGAAGTCAAGTATAAAATGCTGATATTCATACCCAACTCCCATTGGTCCAATGTTCCTTCGGCTGGGAGTGAATAGATCAACAAGCATCAAATATGAAAATCGACATTTTATTTCAAATTTCCTGTCAAGAGTGAAATGAGACGAATGGGACTTGGTGTTTTGTCGTTCTTGGATGGTCTGTAAGAAAAGAGTACACCTTTGTTTCAGTAACCCTGTCCTATTGCTGTTCCTGGCTGTCCATTCTAAAAGTGAATTTTATTGAGGAACTTAAGAAGAAACCAAGATTCAACATATTTTGTTTAATTCAATTTTCTGCCTAATTTGAAATGCTCATAATTTAGTTTTTGATTTTTCAGTTTTATCGGCGGGAATTCAAAGTTTTGCTTATTGTCCCTTATTTTGCTCAATTCCCTGATGTACTCTAATATGGACGTGTTTATGCCAAAAAGAACCTTGTGCATAGGGTTTGGGTGTAACATAGTTCCTTTTAGCATAAATACGTCCAAATGAAAACCTGAGTCATATTTTAAAATCTACTTAGAGCAGGCTCATCTATCGATTGCTGCAAACATTGCGGAAATTGGCCCAGTAGAAAGCTAAAACCAATCGTGACAATAAAGAAAAGTTTACACTGTTTAAATGGGAGAATTTGCAACTTTACCACATAATATACTAAACTCCAGGCCCTATTTCTAAAATCTAAATAGAGCGTAAGTAATGTATTCATCTAGGAACCACCCTGATTGCACCTGTCGATTGCAGTATTAATCATTAGAATCAGCCCTACAGAACACTATAACGAACTTTTACCAGAAAATGTAGAATATTTGAGAACTTAAAGTATCGATAAATACATATTGACTGGATGTCTGAATTCCAGCGCCAACTTACTTCAAGCGCGTAACCAAAAAAATATGAAATTATTTTCTTAAGCAAAGACAAGGTGACAAAAAAATGAAGAGAGTTAATTTTGAACACTCCATCAAATTTTAAAGACATAAAATACGAAGAAACGGAAAACGGCATGGAAACAATAACCAATTTTTATAGAAAAAATATTCACCCTATATAGGATTGCAAGAGGGAAAATTCAAGAAGTATAACTTTATTTCAAATGAGTTGATCGGATTGAAAAACAAGAAAAGAGACTTTTTTGGAAAAGTGTTAGATGAAATAGACTGAAAGAGATTTGGACTGGTTATTTTACTTCAAATTTTCCTAAAAAATGAATAAACTCATCCTGTGCACACATTTTGATGCTCCTCTGATGTAAAGGAGCACCTGGATTTTAACTTGAGCTCTCTTTAACATATTAATCCATTCTTTATGGGGCTCATGCAGATACAGTCCTAACACCAAAAGAGCGACAAGATGTGCATACCCGCATGAGCCCAAGGAAGCATGGATTAATATGTTAATGCGAGCTCATGTTAAAATCCAGGTACTCCTTTACATCAGAGGATTGGCAAAATTTGTGCACAGGATGAGTAGCACCACTTGTTAGGAAAAGTAGGGGCATCGATAAGGGACTTTTTTTGCCCCACCTAGAATCTAGAAAGTTATGCGGGTTTTCCAAATTGACTCAATGTAGTTTACAGAAATAATCATGATTTGGTCCATAGACCCCTGGGTACGTGTGAAACAGTTGCCTGAGCACATGTCTGCAGGCGTATTTTAGCAAAAATGCGTGTTCTCCTATCACTCCGAGGCTTTTTTGACACCAAGCGCATCATCTAACTAAACGAGCTTTTGATATGTTATCAAAGAGACTTAAAGACACATTTTAACCCTGGTTTGGTTTTAGTTAGATGATGGGCTCATAGTTAAAAAACTTTTTCAAAAGTCGACTTTTAAGGGGCCCTGCAAAAATCTTAGGGAATTACATTGCTAGGGTTTTTTTAGCTACAATTAAAGAAAACCTCCTTTTTAGAGTTCAACAAGGCTTGATAACTGCCCTCAATAATATACGTAGCGTGCATACAGTTGGAGAGACGTGTTTCCCGAAGATTTTTGCGGATGCCCCTTAAAAGTCGACTTTTGAAAAAGTTTTCTTTAACTATGAGCGCATCATCGAACTAAAACCAAACCAGGGTTAAAATGTGTCTTTAAGCCTTCTTGATAACATGTCAAAAGCTCGTTTTAGTTAGACGTTGCGCTCGGTGTCAAAAAAGCCTCGGAGTTATAAAGAAACCCGCATTTTCGCTAAAATACGCCTGCAAACGTATGTTCAGGCAATCGTTTCACACGTATCCAGTGGCCCATGGACCAGATCATGATTACCTCTTTAGACTGCATTAAGTCAACTGGGAAAACCCGCATAAATTTCCAGATTCCAGGTGGGGCCAAAAAAGACCCTTATCAATACCCCTCTGTTCTAGTAAAATAACCAGTCCAAATCTCTCTCAATCTATTTCATCAACCATTTTTCCAAAAAAGTCCCTTTTCTTGTTTCTCAACCTGGTCATTTTAACCTGGTCAACTCATTTGTAATAAAGCTACACTTCTTGAATTTTCCCTCTTGCAATCATATATCGTGTGAATATTTTTTCCATAAAATTTTGTGATTGTTTCCATGTTGTTTTCAGTCTCTTTGTATTTTATGTCTTCAAAATTTGATGTAGTTCTCCAAATTAACTCTTTTCATTTTTTTATCACCTCCTTGTCCGTGCCTCAAGAAAATCATTTTATATTTTTTTGGTTACGTGCTTGAAGTGAGATGGTATACAAATCAAGGCCGAATACAAAAAGTAACGTCACACTACCCATTCAGGAGAGCATTACGTAATTTATGGACAGCCCGCAATGGATTACAAGCAGCAGCTGTCAAACTGAAGCATTGTAGTACATGAAACTAATGAGGCAGATGAATTAGAAAATTTTAGGTAACATTTTTTTTTTTCTGGTACATTACACTAGTCAGTGTGCAAACTCTTTTATGATAACATCTCCTTACCGACAAGAGAAAAGTCAAGACCCACTTTTGTGAAAAGTCGAAATTGGTTGAATTCTTTCCTCTTACCTTTAGATATATGAATAAATTCGTATCTCTTTTCTTGCTTAGGCATGGCGGCAGATGTCGGTACCCTCCAAAGATTTCCGAGAATAATCGGAAGTTCCAGCCTATGCAATGAATTGGTCTTTACAGCCAGGAAATTACCTGCGGAAGAAGGCAAAGACTGTGGACTAGTCAGCAAAGTTTTTAACTCTAGAGAAAGGTAATTTTTCTCATTAATGTGATCAGCTGCCCACTCTGTTACTCATTGTAGGGGACATAAACCCAAAAATCAATGTTAAGATTAAAGAAGAAATAGATAGAAGAGAGGAAAGGTGACAAACACCGAAAATCCCACTCGCAAATTCTTAAAATAATATTGTAAAATCTTCGAAAGAAATTGCTGAAATATTTGCTTTGGTAGCTATAATAATGCTGGTTTTGTGTAACAGTCTGTGTCTTTTTCGATTTGTTTTTTCCTTGAGTATACTTGCAGAAGTCCACAATGATGGGGAGGAAGCTTTTACAAGTTGATGAAAACTGATAACACAGCCCCTGCGTGTTTTCGGTCATGTCGTGTTGCATGGCATGTCCTGATTGATACCTATGTATTTTTTAGCGCTGAATTCGGGAAAAATATCCAAAAATTCCATCACGTCAGGATTTTCCGCAAATTCAAAATTTTGGTTTTTCGGTCTAAAATATTGAATTTTTTTCTTTTCAATTCGACCATTGATTTTGGTCGAAAGTATCTCTACTATGTATGAAAAAACCATTGCTTGTCAAAAAGGAGCTTCTAGGATTGATACCTGTCCGAATTCCGTCAAATTTTATGCATTTTTAGGTGATTTTTATCCCCTAAAAAATCGTTTTCTAGTCAAAATTTGAAAAGTACGACTGGAAAAAAAATGTATTCCGACATAATTTACTTCTGTTAGTACCCACCAATCACCAGAAAAAGTGAACACAAATATCTAAACTATTGGGAAGAGGGGGGCGGCGCTAAGATGTCATGAGAGCTCCACGCAGCTCATGGCTTCTTCCCGCCGCGTGCCGCACCGTCTTGCAAGTTCCGACTTATGTAAGTTTCACGTACCTTTTTGATTCCTCGACGCATTTTCATAGATTTCAACTTGTCTAGGGTTCTATCATGAGTTCAGTGGGATTTTATCCTGACTTATCAGTGCTAAAATGGCAGAAAAAGCGGTATGTTGTTTGCTCGAGATTCGGTTCTTTTTTGAGGCAAAAATTTTATTTGTAATTTCGGCCAAATGGCTTCCAGAGGGTGCAAAAAGACACCAGATGCGTTTTTTTACATCTATGGTGAGCTGATGGTGCAAAATCAGCGACGTGATATTACAGAATTTGTGAGGAAACCTGCGACGCGGCGGCGCGCGGCGGGAAGAAGCCGCGAGCCGCGTGGAGCTCTCATGACATCTTGGCGCCGCCCCTCTCTTCCCAATATTTTAGAAACTTGCGTTTACTTTTTCTGGTGATTAGTGGGTATTAACAGAAGTATATTATGGGGGAATACATTTTTTTCCAGTCGTACTTTTAAAAGTTTTAACTAGAAAACGATTTTTTTGGGGATAAAAATCACCTAATAATGCATAAAATTTGACGGAATTTGGACAAGTATCACTCTTGGAGGCTCTCTTTTGACAAGCAATGGTTTTTACATACTTAGTAGAGATATTTTAGACTAAAATCAATGGTCGAATTGAAAAGGAAATAAAAATTCAATATTTTGGAAATTTTTCCGCCCGAAAAACCAAAATTTTGAATTTGCGAAAAATCCGGACGTGATGGAATTTTTGGATATTTTTCCCGAATTCAACATACAAAAAATACATAAGGAATACATGAGGTATACATAAGGAATACATAAGGAATAAAAAATACATAGGAATCTATCAACACATGCCATGCAACACGACATGACCGAAAATCGCAGGGCTGTGTAATATTTCTCAGGAAAATATTTTTAAGGTAATATCCCTTTATGTCAATTACTTACAGTTTTGTCAGTATGTCTTGCAATTCCGTTCGATTCCTATTTTTCTTCTTTTTGTTATGTGTTTTTATGATAACATCCCAGTGCTGATTAATTGACTGATCCCTAGAAAAACTGAGAAGGACTTGAATAGCTCTAATTAGAAACTTTAAAGAGTGGAGATTTTTTGTAACTAAGATGGACGTAAATGGGTGGATTTCAGCTGATGGGAGAAAATCGTTCTGAAAAAAGTTGACGAGTGATTTGGATGTATCAAGCTAAATACTACTTTTCTGTTATCTCAGAGCTCCATACTATAGAATTTAATTAAGTTCATCGCAATATCTTTAGGATTATGTTTAGAAAGGAGACTTGGAAGTCAGAAAAACTACCATTAGTGTCAGTTTGATGACGCTCACTGCTTTGGCTTTGAAGTAAGTAATTCAGCTGAGTTGTGATATTCCAATGTACTGATTGAAAGCATTAGGTTATAGCTCCTTAAAAAAATCAAAAAAATTGAGACGCCGTTTGATAAAACAAAATTAAAGAATCAGAAAGCCAAATTTATTCCTAAATTGCAAGAATGACTTTCATCATTTCTCTCTGTGCATCATAAAATCAGATACGTGCTGCTCTGAAACTATTTTTTGTGAAGAGGACTATGTACGGAAGTGGTTTAAAGTTTAGGAATGGGCTCATAACAAGATGTTATCGAAAAATTGCTTAAAAAGTGAGCGTCACCAGAATGATGTGCTGCCATTAAAGGGAGTTACTGGATATGAGTTTCAATAATTTAAACTAATTCTTAAGTATCAAAAAGACTAATCAATATGTTATATGTTGTAATTAAATCCCTGATCATGAACGGTTACGATTCATAATATCCAATTAAGGGATGTCCATTAATAAAATATCGTGATTTCTCAGATTTTTTGACACCCACCCACCCCTTTAAATGCGATTGTAAGGCTAGGCCAGACACCCCCCAAAATAATTACATAAAATTTTCCTCAACATCTCCCTTTTGTAATAAAAGAAGTGAAAAGAAAAGAAAAGGGAAAAAATTTAAAATATGCTGACAAGGGTACAGCCTCCATCATTTGACAAGGCTAATACATTAAATTTATGCATGAATAGTAAAATGAATAAGTCATGAAATAGAATTCTTACTAGGAATATAAAAATAATGTATATCCCCTTCCACAAAAAATTAAAGATGTGCTTCCACAAAAAGTGATGATTTTTTTTTTTCTTAATCAACGGGGAATTTGGAAGTAGGAGTGTTGTTGAACTTGATACAAGTACTGAACGCAATTATTGGTTATGCAGCATGAAAGGGCTCATTATTTTTTTCAAAAATTATTAAGGAAAGCCTTTTACAATTTCTCCTTAATCGTCGAAACCCTTCCATTATATTTCGGAAAGATATGTGAAAACCCTTCATTACTTTCTGGGAAATTTTGGAAACCCTACCACAGTATTGTGGTTGAAAAATGTGGAAATCCCTCTACAATGTTTTGGTAAAAAAATTATTAGTTTTAAAATGAGAAGAATAAGAAATAAAGCTTCCTTAAAATCTGGAAGGCCTCCACATTTTCATGCGAAAAGTTTTCGTCACGTGATCGCGTTTCCGTAAAATCGGCTAGGGACTCCAGAATTTCACGCAAAAATGTTTCGCGTGATGTAGAATAATGTGCGCCCCTACATCCTCCTCTTAACTCAATGTGAGAGTTCCTATTGCCTAGAATTAGAATTGCAGGTGAGCTAATAAAGTGCAAGTCATTTATTCGCGTCTATGAGTGTTCCAAGGAAGCCTGATATTTACGGTGATACCGCTATTCGACCATGCTGGCGCCCATGCTGCCTACACTAATAATTGAAGGCGGTCTGATCTGGTATTAAGCCACCTCTTCCCCTAGGTGAAAATATATTATTTAAGTATTTATTCTAAGTAAGCATTCTATTTCTTGATTTATTTATTTTACTAATCATGTACGAATTTAATGAATAGCCATATCAGTTGATGGAGGCCATACCCACGTCAGCTCATTCCAAATTTTTTCCCTTTTCTTTCTCTGTCCACAATGCTCTTGTCGTATGTCCATGGCTCATGAGTGCCGTATTTACTTGGCACATAGTTCTGTGCAACAGAATGTAAAATACCGCTTTTCCATTTCTCCATAGGGAATCACGCCCACTTTAACATTGTTTCTTATGCGCTCATGACGAACATATCCCATCTTTCCCTCTTGTCTATAGTTCCGGTTGAAATGGAAGCTGAATTGATGCTTTCTGAAAGTTTTCTCTTTTTTTTTTTTTTTGTTTGCATAATAAATAGCGAAAATTCTTTCGTGTGAAAAAAGAAGTTATCCTTTCATTTTGTGCATCGTTCAAAGTCGTTAAAATAACTCATTTTAACGCATAACAATTTGTTTTTCGCGCAGTGATTAATGAAAAAAATCATCTCTTGGACGTCACCAAACCTGACATGTCAATTTGGAGACGGTGAGTCAGGTTTGGTGACGTCACCAAACTGACATTTTGCTGTTATTAATTTTTCCTGCCAATTCACAATATCAACATCAAACGAATCATCGAGGTAAGGTCGAAAGGCTACCTGTAGATGTAAGAAAAAAAATGTTTGCTCTCATATTATAACAAAAGTTTTGATGTCACCAAACTGACATTGAATAAGTGAGACACTCCAAAAACCACGGAAACAACTGAAATCATCCTGAAGTTGGAAGAAATATGTGGACTTATCAAGTGCACGTCTATTCGTTCTCCACTTCCGCACTCAGTCATGCCTTAATTCGCACACTAGCGTTATCTCTTGAGTGGCCACAAACTAAAATGCATAGCATCGCCAAACTGACATAATATTGAGTTACACGCTTCAAGCCTCAAATTAAATTGAATAATAGAGTTTTCTGGTGTTTCAATGCATATTATATCAAATAATATACATTCAAGACTTTCAAAGAAATTAGACAAAGCTCGCAAAAGATCCTGGTTTATTTATAAACCGATTTGATACATTGACTACCTCCGAGTTACAAAGTCACGAAACTGACATTTTCACTGTTCAGCACGTTGAAAAAAGGTTCAGAGTTATTCAAATCTCCTGAGGAATTTTTTCGTGGTTGGTGTGACCTGCTTCTACGCAAAAAATCAAACATCAAGAGAAAATATTGTAATTGAAAGTTTTGAGCGGCCGGTTACACGTCTCTTCCATATTTTGTCCCATTTGCTGAAATCCACCCAAATTATTTTAATTTTTTTTTTTTTTTTTTTTTTTTTTTTGACTTTCTTTGGAAGTTTAATTCGCAGTAAGTACTTTTCCTCTGATCTGTATGAATCTGAAAGGTTTTGCTGAGGTATGCATCTTTTTCTTTTTTCTAGTTTAATGGAAGCAAGCATGAAATTAGCTCTAGAAATCTCATTAAAAAGTCCAGTAGCAGTTCAAGGAAGTAAGCAAAGTATGTTATATTCTCGAGATCATACTGTAGAAGAAGGATTGAATCACATTGTAAGTAATACTTAAAAACTATTTAGGCACTGTAGTAAGATTTTCACTTACAAAAGGACCCTACAACAAAACGGCCAAATCGGCCTAAACACAGAATCCTACGATTTTCTCAGGGTTGTCTTCCCAGACACTCAAAACTGGTCATATTTTTTGCTTAACGCCCAGGGAAAAGGGGAAGGGGGGGGGGTCAAAGTCAAAAACTTTAAAGTAGCATAACTTCTCAACGGTCTGTCGTAGAAAGATGATCTTGCTGTCAAAATTTTCCAAAAAATTAGAGCTTTCACAATATATGTATTAAATTAATTAAATTTTAAATTTTGACCCACTTTTGGGGGAATTATACAAAGTCCCCCTTAAGTAAATTTACGTTTATCGAGTTGTTCGGTCGATCGGTTCGCGCAAAGCAAAAAAAAACCATCCTAAATAAAAGTAGAGGATTTAAGGTTTAAAACAAGCCAAAGTTCATCTTGGGGAAACGGTTAGAAGCAGAGTTATGAGTCTTCAAAGTTGACGCGGCGCACGGGAACCTTGTATGTTCCGAGTCTGTTCAAGGTCACCTGCGCCCCCCGGATTGTCCGCAGGTCGCAAGTTTTTGTGTTTTTATGCTTCTGTAGATCGTTTTTAATGTGAATTATTCAGTGAAAATAGAATAATCGGAATTTGTGAACTTTACAGGAGGAGTGAGAGGGGGCTCGGCTCAGAGTATCAACCATTATGTCCATCATACCTCATTAAAAATTTTCTGACAATGAAGATTCTGCGCTCAAAATTTAGGAGAAACCATGGAATCTCAGTTCAAAGATACATATGATCCATACAGAACTGAACCATTTAGAAATTATGACCCATTGATACCAAATTTTGGGGTACCCCTGGTTTTAAATTTTTATAATTGAGCTGAGCTACAGCGCTTGACGGATCTTTTTTTTTAAAGCCAAATAGTTTCTCGTAGCAGCAGACGAGTTTTAAGCTTCAAAACAAGGCACAGTTATTCTTGAGAGAGCAATTTGAAACACAGTTCAAATTTTTTAAAGTTATCCTGGCGTACTTCATTGGAGGCCCATTGTGTAAAATTTACAAATTCTGATTATTCTATTTTCAGTGAATGATTTCCATTAAAAACGATCTACAGAAGCATAAAAACACAAAAACTTGCGACCTGCAAGCAATCCGGGGGGCGCAGGTGACCTTGAGACTCAGAACATACAAGGTTCCCGCTCGCCACGTCAACTTTGAAGACTCATGACTCCGCTTCTAACTGTTTCCCCAAGATGAACTGTGGCTTGTTTTAAACCTTAACTCCTCTACTTTTATTTTGAATGGGTTTTTTTTGCTTCACGCGAACTGAACAACAGAACATCTCGATAAACGTAAATTTACTTAAGGGGGACTTTGTATAATTCCCCCAAAAGTGGGTCAAAATTCAAAGTTTTATTAATTTTATACATATATTATAAAAGCTCTCATTTTTTTGAAAATTTTGACAGCAAGATCATCTTTCTACGACAAACCGTTGAGAAGTTATGCTACTTTAAAGTTTTTGACTTTGATCCCCCCCCTTTTTCCCGGGGGGTTAGGCTCTTCCGTGCGATTTCATCGCACGCTTTTTCCCGTTTTCGGGGGGCACAGCGGCCAGATGCACCACTTTTGAGGTCTAATATTGCCCAATCCGCAACTATGTGTCTACAAAGTTTCAAGCGTGCCGGTGTGGCGCCAGAAGTGCAGCTGGCTCTTAGACTCTAGAGACTATAGGATCCTTTCTGACTAAAGCCTTCAAAGTTGTCTCTTATATATTTTTCAGATACAGTTTTGACTTTTATGAACGAAATTTCCTCAAACATAAGTCATCATTAAGTAAAGATGTTGCGAAATGTAGTTTTTTTTTCGTAATTATATTTCAATGCAACAAACAAGCTAACTGTCCTAAACCGATTTTCTTCTTTTCATCTGGATGAAATTCAGTTGTCCTGTCACAACTGGTGCTATTTCACTGAGCCATTCCATTCATTCACATAAATTCTAAATGATTCATTCGATAGTGTTTTTTTAAATTATAGTCACCTGACTATTCAAAAAATATTGGATATTACAAGCTTCGCCCAATTTTGTCGAGGAGCACAAGGTCGGGCCTATCATATGGAATGGTTTTATCAGTTTGGATTGATATTATTATTATTATTGTTTGGATTTTTATTTTTTTTGCATAAAATATCATAGCCAAGGCTGGTATTTCTGTGCCCTCTCGGGAACTAAGTACAACGGAGAGTCCTGTTTTAAATTTTTTTTTTTTTTTTTTTTTCTTTTTTTTTCTAATCTTACAGGATTTCTTCCGGTATTAAGAACCCAAGACTAGTGGAGGACTAGAGTCTTGGACCCTTTTCTTGCCCCAACTTAACCTAAGTAAATTGACAAAAATACGATTTGCGACATTTTTAGGGTAGTTTCATAAAATTATCAATTTGATCAAAATCGAATACATATTAGCACATCTGATATTTGAAAGTTAAATCTTGAAGAGGGGGGGGGATACGAAAAGAACTGCAAGTATTTAAATTCCTGTTGGATTTTAAAATGTATTGGATAAGGTTAAAATTTCGCTTCTTCCACTTATTTCTTCAAGAAAAACCAAATCGCAATATCTGTCAGAATTTAATCGATAATATGAAGAAAATTCATAAATAATTTGAAAAAAATTAATAAATAATTTGAAGACAAGCAGAGATATCCAACACAAAGTGTTGATATGGCGCGTCAATAATTCGTACCTTGGATGTTGCACACTTGTCACAATAAAGGAGCCAAAAAATCCTGTCATATCTCTAAGGCACTCAGGTTTGTGATCTAAAACAAATGTGTGCGCAGTTATTGTAAAAATGAGACGATTTTATTAACATTATATTTATAGACTACATAAAAACTGGACATATATGAGAAAATGATACATTGTTTATTTATAAAAGAATACTGAATGAAAAATTTAAAAGATATAAATTTTAATAAATATTTGTAAAATTTACAAGTTATCAATTTGTTATGAAGTTAAGAATTTGTACTGATAAAAATTGGAGAAGTGTGTCATTAATAATCTATTTCCATTCTAGAGTTGGATGCATTTACATAGACAGCTTCTTGAAATAAGGAAATTTTCGTGTCAAATATTTTGACTCTGCGGCCAATATGCTCTTTCTGAATTATATTAACATTGGCGTTCCATAAAATAAGATTAAGTTTATTATCAGCATAATCTGTAAGTGTTACTGCTCTGCGTTCATATGGTTTCTGATATGTATTTATGCCGGAGGAAGCAGAAAATACTTCAGTAACAGTGCCTTCGACATGAACAATAGTATTTTGGGGAATCAAGTTATTATTAATGTCTTCAAATGCAGCAAAATTGTGAGTGACATCAGGCAAATTGACCTTGTTTTTGCTGACTCGTTCGATTTGTGTTTTCTGGGACGCAATTAATTCATAGGGATGACTTGTTTTATTAAAGAGTGGTGCAGCAGGCTTTACTATTGCCTTCGATATTTGATAACTTTCATTCAATTCTAAAATTGAGGCTAATTTTTCAGCTTGTTCATTGAATCCTGTTAACAGAATGGGCCTGTTGCAAACTTTTGCTAGAGCAGAATGAAGAGTTGTTTCCTATAGATAATGCCTCAAAAATCACGATGAGCGCATCGGCAAAGTCTGAAATGCACTCATAAATTCACAATCTGCGTAAGAAATTTGCGTTATTTTGAGCTTCCCGCTTCAAAAACGATACTACTGCACAGGTGAACATTTTGTTAGATGAGTCCCTCCATCGTCGGCAATATTCATCATGGCCGACGCTTGCGCAGTTCCGCGAGTAATTCGAGGAGAGTTCAAGATCAATTAAGGCGGGCGAGGAAAATATAAACGTAAACACGCCGATTGTTATCTGATTTAATCCTGTTCAGATGTTATCTCGTCCCATCACACGTGTTTTGGCGGACTGGCGTCGGCCATGATGAGTATTGCCGCCAATGGAACGGCTCCTCTAACAAAATGTTCACCTGTACCGTAGTATCGTTTTCGAAGCGGGAAGCTCAAAAAACCGCAAATTTCTTAGGCAGATTGTGAAGTTGTGAGTGCATTTCAGACTTTACCGATGCGCTTATCGTGATTTTGGAGGCATTATCTGTAAGAAACAACTCTTAGTTTTGCTCTAGCAAAAGTTTGCAACAGGCCCATTTGGCCAGACATATCTTGAAGGATGGACTTAATTATTAGTCCATTTTTCTGGGGGCTTTTATAGGAAGCAAGACTGGTAAGCGAGACTACTTTACCAATTATAGGCTTTTGATTTTTGTCTGTGTTAATTTGTGTGATCGGCATGTTTACGTCTACTGCAGACTCATCTAATGTTTATGAAACATAATGTACAATATAAAATAAGAAATGAATTTTGAAAATAGTTACATGAAAAAATGAAGATATAGAAATCAATAGGAAAGAAATGTCATTACAGGAATAAAAACCCATGATACTTGCTGATATTTTAACTCTTCAATAATTATAGAGAAACAGAGGAGAGAGCATGTTATTTAAGAATAGTACATACATTTCATGATTTCTTTGAGCCTGTTTCTGTCCATCAGTGATAAGACACGTAATTACTATTCGTATGATATTGAACATGAATGAAACCAAAAAGGAGGTAACCAGGATAGACGATACTGCCATGCCAAGGAAGAATGTTGTATGAACATTAGGGAGTTGCCTAATTTCCTCCAATAAAATGTTTATTTTTGACGATAATTATCAATATTTTTTCTAGAAATTTGCAGACTTTTATGATGATATTGCAAGCAAAAATACTTGAGAAATTGAAAGAAAAATATTTACAAACTGCCTTGAAATTTAGTGATTTGTCGAAGGAGATTTGGCAATGTCTGGAGGTTCATATGGCGTTTTTCCTTAGCACGGCAGAATAGTGGAGAAAATATTTTGAGGGTGGATTATTTTTGGTCAGGCATATTTTCATTGGTTTGGAAAAGGAGGCTTAATCATTGAACACATCCTCTTAATTTGTGTTAAGGTACAAATAATTAAATGATCTAGACAAGCACATCAGCGATGCACAGTTATGCATAACCACAGTTGATTCATATTTTACATTAATCTATTTCTCTTGAAGCAAAAAGAATATTGTATGTTATATTTTAAAAAAGTAATATTTTGACTGTGAAACTGTAAATATGCGTATTTTGGTTTCAGTGTTTCAAAATTTCTGCAAAAATTTCATATTTTAAAAGGAGACAAAACCAACATCATGGCTTGAAGATTTCATAGAATATTCTTCATAGAAAAAAGGAAAATCATTGAAATTTTGAAACCATGATGTTCAGTAGTTTTCCAAGTAGAAAATAAAATGTGCCAGGAATTCTGCAACGCTGCAAATGGAGATATGTATTGCTGCAGTTACACCATCAACTTACAAGTGTATATTGTATTCGCATTTAAATTTTTTCTTACCGTTAAAATGCCAGGTACTCTTCTTATTGTTATCTTGTTCATCAACTTCGGAGATGACATCGTCAATATCAGTATCTTCTGGAAATATGATTATAAAAGAAAAATACAGATTACGACGGCAAATAATGATTATTATAATGTAAATGATAACATAGTAGGCAGATAGGTGAGATGTGATTTTACACTCTCAATATTGCTCAGATGCAATTTAGAAAGTATCTTGACTAAATTTTCATGAATTATTGAATGCAGAATTAATTTTGAAAGGATTGAATGCAGCAGAGTTGCAAAAGTGACATATCTATGTTTAAAATTTGAGGTGGGATAATGGCGGCTTCTCAAGAGCAACGAGGTAGGCGATCTTTTGCACCAACGAACAGAAGACTGATGGCGAAAAATAACCAATCAGAACCTCCCAAAAAAAAGAATTTGCCTAAAAACGGAATTTCGTGGTTCTGCGCAGATTTACCAGTCAGACACGACATCTCGAGGTGGAAAAAAACTCGCTGAAAGCGAATTTTAGGAATCAACACAACTTGACGTAGAGACACGATTGGCTAAAAAATACAACGGTTTTTGATACATCGGAAAATCAACCAAAAATCGGAGACTGGGCGAAACGCTCAAGGTCGCAGAGGTATAGGGAATCCCATAGCGAAAGCAACGGAACGATTGTAATATCATGGGGAACTCCGTTCCCATGACAAAATCATAGTACTCACGTTTAAAGGGTTTTCTGCTTCGTCATGTTGAAGTTTAAGCACCTTGCGCTGCGGAGTATTTTTCTCGCTTTGGAAGTTTTTTCTTTTTCTTGGCGCTACTTTACGAACCATCTGCAAAAAAATTATTTAGCTAAGATAAGCATTTCACAAAAAAAAATTTAATTCTCATCTTCAAAGCATTGGGGAAAAATTAGATATGAAGAAAAACTTATGGCTTGTTGATAGAGGATTGAAAAATACAATGTTAAATGCCATCCATTATATTACCTACATGCTGCCGATAACAAATAATGCAGGAGGAGTTTTATTTGGAAAATCATCAAAGGTTTTGGAAGAATCAATTCATATGTCTTACTTAAGAAAATTATTGAATAGATGAAATTAAAATTAAACGGTCACAATGATTCAATACTATGTGATGGTGCGCTGAGCAACTGTGAGACTGACGAGTTGGCCAGTGAACCAGTGAGCTCTGGGCATCGCTACACAACTGGCTTAACCGCAACAACGCAATTGCTGGAATAGCGGCTGGATGTCTACTTTTTTGTCATACTCATGATGGCATCATGCAATTTCGTACTTTTAAGTCGGCTGAGATTAACAATGCATCTAAAACGATACCTCAACAATGGTATTGATCAAGTCTGGTTGTTTACTGTGGTATAATTGATATACAAACCTAGTACTGACATGTATGTTTCGAATAAGTTTCACTTAACCCCATGATAGAAACTTGTATCAAAATTTCCAAAGTATACAGCATGATCCATCACTTTAGATTGAAAATAGCCCCAATATTGATATGTTCAGTAATTAGTGACGTGAACCAAATGGGCTTCCTTCCAAGAAGGGGTTACGGGACTTTGGTCTAATTGTCACATTAAATAAATAAGATGATGAAAAATTTTGATTCTTCATTCAAGGTGATATTGCCCGGTGGATTGAAGGTAATGAGAATCACATGTTCACTTATTGATGCAATAGCACTACTCTGATGCCATAGTGGGCTGAATTCCCTTGTAGACAAAGAGCCATGTATAAGACGAACTGTGGATGATAAATACAGCAGTAAATATAAAATAATCTTACCGTGGATGTTGCTGGATGTGCAGGAAGACAGATGCACACTTGAAACTTTCAATAAAACGATGAAAATCACGCAAAAGAAAAGAACAGGACTCGAAAAACGAAGCTCGGAATCTACTCGCAAAAATGGCGGACAGACATAGCAGTGAAATCGGGAACTAGGCAACGGCGAAGAAGTATAGACAAACTCTAAGAAGATGAGCACACCAACCGATAAAATGGGGTAAATGCGGAGGCAATCAATCATGACGTACATAAGGGATAACCAATGAGAGCAAAGTAATCAAACGGTGCAATTCTTGCTTTACGCAGTACATGACCCGATTATAGCACGCTTTCATATGACACTCATGGTTTCTCGTGACTCCTATTCATCATTTGCTGTTTCAACGGTGGATTGACTCTATACGGTTGGAAATCGGAAAGGAATGCGACGAAGTGGCGAAGTAATACATCACCAATTTTATACTTGGATCCGGGCTGAGGATCCCGGCATCGCTTGGCAACCGTCATTAGCTATTGTTCGTCGAGACGCCGACGCAGTGAGCAGGAGCGTGGGAAAGAGAGGGGTAAGTGGATTCCTGTATGAGCCACGTTTAGCTAATGGTCTATTGAGTCTCGAGGCTCATCACAGATTGCACTTACACAGATTGCACTATCAGAGCACGGGTACCAACTTTTGGAAATTATAACCGAGGTTACAGATCTGTCAAAGCAACGTTTTGAACAAAACGGAGGAGTTAAATTCTCATTTCGAGAGTGCCGACCTGCTCAGCCATCCTCGAATCAATTCGCTTGATTCTGCTTATATATGCATAATTTAAATCAGCGCGTCGCATTCTTAGGCTTTTTTTGAAAAAACCAAGTAACGTAGACTCTTGGTATTCACTGCACATAAACTAATGAGCCCCAGAATGAGAAACAACTTTAAATCATAATTATTGATGGATAAATAAACTTTTTACACGCTTTGGAAAATCTCAGAAGTTCGCGGTAGTCACTTTTCGGTAAGGAACTAAGGGACTCGGTTATTGTATCGAGTAGGGTTCGAAACGATCGCAAAGGCGGTATACTACGTATACGCGCCAAAAATTAACGAATGATTTGAAGAAAATTAACGAATAATTTGAAGAAAATTAATAAATAATTTGAAGGAAATTAATAAGAAATTTGAAGAAAATCAATAAATAATTTGACTTATACTTCTTCAGTGATTTATTTTTTAACACTTAAAATATGAGCGGAAAACAACATAGCTATGAGCGTACAACTTTTTTTGAAAAATCATTATGCATTTTTGATCAGTCAAAATACTAATAATACCAGATTTTTGCAATTGATCACTTGTCTTATTGAATATTAATGGTTATTTTTTAATTCTTGCGCAGCACACAGGTTTCCTGCTAGCTTTATCAATAATACTTTAATGAAAACGCCAGTGTTAGAAATTCTGTCTGATTGTTTTGGCTCTAAAGTATATATTCAAACCCTCTCAGCATGACTTAATTTTTGCTCGACCCCTCAGCTGGATATCTACTGAAAAAATTGTCATTCAATTTTCTCTCTAGTGCGTTTTGCCTGATTAGCGCTCATCAACCTAAAAAACAAAAGTATCACAAATTAACCAGTCATCAAACGAATCTCAACTTAATATCACAAAAGTACATTTCAACAACGTACGAGGACTTATACACAACAAAAGCCGATGTCGAGTTTTCACATTGTGAGAAAATCGCGTTTGAGGTTTTTAATACTTTGCCGCCCGTAGAACCAAGAGGATTCTGATAAAGATTTTCATGAAGAGTATTTCTTTCTGTAAGAAACACACGTTTTACGATCTATGTAATTGAAAAATTGAAGGAGTAACAGCGATTTAAAGAAAATGTGACCTCCGCTATTTTTACTGAATACATTTTTTTATGCATGAGACAAAGTCTTCAGGAAGGGTAAGGCTGGTGAAACGATTGAAATGAACCAAAAGTATGTCAATGCTGAGTCATATAATAAAATTGAAAAAAAAAACTAAACCGTCTGTAACTTCTACAACAAGAATAAGGAACAAATTATGAAATCAGTTAAAAACTCATTAATTTCGGTCGAAACGGTCCTGATACGCATCATTTGAGTGTCTGCTGCGGCCAATGGCCGGTACGCGAGCAGTTATTGCGAGTGCGTTCGAATCTCCGCGGTGTCCTGCCGAGCCGGTTGGGGAGAACAGTGGATTCTCATAACCGCTGTTTTTACAAATAACATGGTTTTCAGTTCATTTCTCACCGAAAAATTGCGCTGGAAGTCCGAGACTTTACACAGGCATTCTTGAGGGCTCCAGAATTGGAAAAAAGCGTTTAGAAGGAATCACTGTTAAAATAACAAAGATATATTTTCATGTCCCAGCATAGATAGGCAATTGCATGAGACACATGAATTAGACAGTGCATTATTTGATTTCTTTGTTGCCACAGATGCTTACGTTGAAGTTTCATGAGCTTTAACAACATGCATGTTGATTACGTTGTATTTTTGATCGAAAATTTCAATTATGATTGTCAAAATTTCCTCTGACCTCTTACCCCATATCATAATTCGAGATGGCGGCCAAGTTTCCTGTGTTAAAGGTCAAATAGGCATGAATGTTTCCATATGACCAGTGAAGTATCTACGGTAGGGTAATTTGGATCGTAAAGTCCAAATGTAATGTTTGAAGTTCCTTTACAATTCATTTTAGGCCTCAAATTCCTTGATAGCTACCAAAATTGCTGAAATTTTGGAACCAAAAATTCTGCATCAGTGTCTCATATCATGTGACTGATTGATTCCTGTAGATTTTTCGTTGAAGAATCCAATATATATAAATTCGAAATGAATTTTGAATTCAAAATTCACTCCGGCCCCATGAGAAGCCCCAAATCTAAGATGACGGCCATATTTTTCGCCTTTAGAGTCAAACAGTTAGCGTTTGCCTTATAATAGCAAGATAGGCGGAGGGGGGAGCTTAATTTGGGAAAGAGTTGAAACCCTGGTGTAGATCTTTTAATTACCCTCTGAAGTTCAAAATAGCCAAAATAAAATATCAAGGCAACCTATTATCAAAGGACTACTTGCAAAATGGGCCATTTGGGGCTCAGGGCGGATACCTTTGAGACTTTCCCTATTTATTCACCTAACAATGCCCCATCTTTTCCCAAAGTTTCAAGCCCCCCAACGTTTGGGGAGACGAGGCGGGGGGTCAAAGTTAAAAACCGGCAAAATTTTCGCGAATTTATTACTCGAAAACCAAGAAGTTTTGGAAAACGCGGTTTAAACGATTGTATTCAGCGTGACGAGAGCTTTCAGAAAATGTATAACATCATAGAGTTTTGTCAACTTCAGCTCGAGTTATCGCCTCCGAAGCGCCGGAACGCTCGAAAAAGACCCCTTATTTTTTCACGTTTGGGCCGATTTTAAAAAAAGCCATTTTTTTATTTTGATGAAAAACGGATATGTTGTTCCCGACTCTCTGTAGCCCCTCTAGCTCTTTACCGCATGCTGGGGAAATGTTTTGGTCGCGAGTTATAAGAGCGGAAAGTAGCGAAGGTCGGGAAAATCGGCTATTTTAAACTGCGCGCGCGGCGTTGATCGGAAGGAAAACGTCCCCTCCCACTCAGTTCGGCGAATCACACTCCTCTGCCGACCTCGCATTGTTGCCACATGTCTCCTAATCCGTCACCGCGCGCAGTTTAAAATAGCCGATTTTCCCGACCTTCGCTCCTTTCCGCTCTCATAACTCGCGACCAAAACATTTCCCCAGCATGCGGTAAAGAGCTAGAGGGGCTACAGAGAGTCGGGAACAACATATTAGCTACGTTTATGCGAGGCTCGAAACCGGGGTTTCACGAAACCCGAGTTTGTAATGCAAGTTTCCTCCGTCGGGTTTATGCGGGCGCTGTAACCCGACTTTCGCGGGAAATCAAACTTTCCGATTTTGGCGCTGTTTATGCGCATATTTTCGATTGAACTTGAATTTCATGTTGGCGCCATTTTCACAAGCTATACTTCATTTTTCCACTATGAATTGATTCAATAAATTATTAGGTATTACTCTTTTATCCTGTGTATGTTCAATTTTTCCACAATATATAAGCGGAGGCTTCATCTTCACTAGAAAAGCCTTTACTGACTTTCTGAGCAACAGTTGGAAAAATGACAGTAGATGTTTAATCATTTTACGTTCATCTTTAAAATTGAATGAATACCTAATCTCAACAACCCTCCAAATCATGCTCGAGCTTATATTCTGATTTCAGAAAAGTTGCCATAGGTAATTTTAGTGATGTTAAAAATAATTGTGGCAGGCGCAGAAATTCATCATATTGTTTATTGAGCTTCTAATGATCTTACAATAGGTAGATATAGGCATTGAAAGTGGAGGAGTGCTAATCCAGTAAAGCACCGCACCTTCACTCCATGCTGTTGTAAAGATTGTATGTCTGCCATTATTGTAGTGAAACAAATAAAGAATCGGAATATACTTATGGGAATTCCTCCTTCAAGATATGATCAAAATAAGCAGATATTGATAGGTCAACAATGTATCGCTGAAGCAGAAGCGTCTAAATCCTCTTGAGGCAACGGACGGTGACAATCTCAACAAACTGGTGACGCTTCACAAATTTTGATTTCCACATTCCCAGAGACACGCGCTGAAATCCTGTTTCTCACCCCTCTTTCCGACTGCTCTCCGAGTCCATGAGCAAGACAGGAAGAAAATAGGCAAGCTACCTACCACTGTTTGCCTACCTATGTGTGTTTTTCTTAAACTTGATTTTCAAAGGTGACTCATGTAAAGAGCAACTGAAAAACAAGATTTCAGAACCTGCCATTGCATTTCACTAACCTAAGACACCAACCCAACCTTACCATTGATATTCTTTCGCTTACACTGTATATTATTCTCCCACTGAGATTCGATATGAACTCAATTCAAAAATCCTTCTGAATCTAATTATTCAGGTAGATTGGAATCTGGAGCTCTCAGTCTATCTGTAAAGCGCATTTACTAACATTCACTGCTGTCACAAGATATTTTTGCACAGGCAGAGCCACTTTCCACAGTTGATGCATCTCTAACGCCAAAGCTCAATTATGACAAGTGGTTCAACGACCAAAAATTGTTACACGCCTCAATAATAACCTTATTCTTATCTCAAATTGAAAATCTTGGATCACAGAGCACTCACCGAAGAATCTCCTTCCTTCTGTATCAGTATGAGAAGAGTGACGATACTTTGGAGCAATAACTTTGAACTAGTTTCAATAAGTGATGGCTTCAGAATTTGAGTCATCATTTACTAGAGATTGGATCAAAGAAATAAGTCAGCAGGTCACGGTTGTGGCTGGAGTCACACTTCCAGTAGGACAATCAGGAAATATGTACACGGATAACACACAAATTCAAGAGCTATGCAGCTCTGATTGGATCAGATTTTAGATTTAATCGGTAGATTGAAATGAAAAAATTCGGTGCACTACTTAAAGGGAAGCAGGGTGCCTTATCTTGAAATCCTAGGCAAATCGTGCGGATGCAGTAAAAAAGTTCTCCGCAGATGATGAACTGGTGGGTAAGGCTATTACTCAATTGTAGCCTGTAAAGCTCTTTGCTTGCTTTGCTTCTGTAGTCATAAAATGTTGATTAGAGTTGCAAGAATAATCTGAAAAAGCAGTAATAAGCCTGGATTCCATCTGACACTAAACACCTTCACTAGAAAATAACGTCCTACGTTTAGCTAAATAAGGATAAGTAAGCCACATATAACTGAAGGAATCACGTAAAAGTGCTTAAGCAACAATTATAGTAAAATTATGATTGTAAAAAATGTTGAATAATGGCAAAATTAAAGCTAAATCGTGGGATAAGCACCAGTTGTTTACGAACGGTATGATAATAAATCCGCCATATTGCCGATCGCGCACCTGAAAATCGCATTTGAAGTCGAATTACAACTAATTTCAACCTCCGGTTCGTTTATGCGGAGTGCGAAAACCTAGTCTTTAGTGTAAAATAAGGTTTCAAACACAAATTTCGGAAACCTACATTTCGTTAGTTCCGTATCGTTTATGCCGTGATTTGAACCTTGGTTTCAAACTCAGGTTTCGATTGAAGTTAGGTTAAGAGGCTCGCATAAACATAGCTATTAGTTTTTCATCAAAATAAAAAAATGGCTTTTTTTAAAATCGGCCCAAACGTGAAAAAATAAGGGGTCTTTTTCGAGCGTTCCGGCGCTTCGGAGGCGATAACTCGAGCTGAAGTTGACAAAACCTTATGATGTTATACATTTTCTGAAAGCTCTCGTCACGCTGAATACAATCGTTTAAACCGCGTTTTCCAAAACTTCTTGGTTTTCGAGTAATAAATTCGCGAAAATTTTGCCGGTTTTTAACTTTGACCCCCCGCCTCGTCTCCCCAAAATTTTTGGGGGGCTTGAAACTTTGGGGAAAGATGGGGCATTGTTAGGTGAATAAATAGGGAAAGTCTCAAAGGTATCCGCCCCGAGCCCCAAATGGCCCGTTTTGCACGTAGTCCTTTACTCCAAAATTGGTTTCCACTGATTTTTTAGAACGCTCAAGATGGTGGCTTTTCTCTAGTTAAATACCAGTTTTCTATAATTTTGAAATCATTTTCTTGAAAAAAATTTGAGTGTTTTTGAAACTGACATTACTTTAAATTCTCAGCAGTCAAAAGTTATATCTCCGCGCAAAGTAGTTTCTCCTCTTTCTCTCTCTTTGAATTGTTAGTAAATGAGCACAAGAAAGTTGTGTCTGAAAGCTAATAAAATGATATTGAACCTTGTACAACCTTCTTTTTTATTGCTGTATCCATTTTTTCGTTCTTAGGAGGGTTGGTGTCAAAACTTGTATACTGAATGTATATGAGGACTTATATGTAGCAATTGCGGTCGCTGACATCCGCCACTTTCAGGGAAAACGTTTTTTTCCAATTCTGGAGCCCTCAAGAATGCCTGTGCAAAGTCTCAGACTTCCAGCGCAATTTTTCGGCGAGATATGAACTGAAAACCATGTTATTTGTAAAAACAGTGGTTATGAGAATCCACTGTTCTCCCCGCCCGGCTCGGCAGGACACCGTGGAGATTCGAACGCACTCGCAATAACTGCTCGCGTACCGGCCATTGGCCGCAGCAGACACTCAAATGATGCGTATCAGGACCGTTTCGACCGAAATTAATGAGTTTTTTACTGATTTCATAATTTGTTCCTTATTCTTGTTGTAGAAGTTACAGACGGTTTAGTTTTTTTTCAATTTTATTAAATGACTCAGCATTGACATACTTCTGGTTCATTTCAATCGTTTCACCAGCCTTACCCTTCCTGAAGACTTTGTCTCATGCATAAAAAAAATGTTTTCAGTAAAAATAGCGGAGGTCACATTTTCTTTAAATCGCTGTTACTCCTTCAATTTTTCAATTACATAGATCGTAAAACGTGTGTTTCTTACAGGAAGAGTTGCTCTTCGTGAAAATCTTTTCTCAACGCGATTTCCTCACAATGTGAAAACTTGACATCCGGTTTTGTTACGTATAAGTCCTCATATGCATCCAGAACTTAAACTCAGAGATCCTGATGATGTTTCATAAGTCTATTTTTCAAAGACCGATCAATTATAGCGTTTTTAAAAATCTGACTTGCGGATGCATTATGGGAAACCATCTTAAAGGTTTTTTGCATTCTTGGTGAAACTACGTTGAACTATTGTTTATTTTTCATTAATATGTACCTATCAGTTTCAAGCAAATGGTTGCAATGTGTAATTCTTGGTCATTTTTGTTTGGTTCAGGCTTTGTGGAACCAAGTCATGCTGCAAAGTGATGATTTTGCAAGTGCTTGCCTGGCTCAGGCCACAAAAGGCCCAACACCACCTTTCTCAAAACTCTGATCATGCTAGGTGGTACCATTGTTTCCCTCTGTAACTTTATTATTATTGTCTCTGAAAAGCGAGTAAGTGTTCTTAATTATTAGAGTAAGAATGTCCATCCACCTCAGGGTTAGCAAATTGTTTCTAGCAAAAAGGGACTTGTGAACTAGAGTGGGACTTTAAAACTGGGTAACAAAAATGAACATAATTCCTGAGTCATCTAAAAGTATAGCTTAGTTTGTGGTCTCTGAATGACCCGTAGCAAAATGTGGTGTCAGCCATATCGGGAAACGCTTTTGATTTTCAGTCAGTTTATTTTTCTTTGGAAGCCTTTGTAATCAACATTTAACCTGCAGATTGTTTAAGGTTTATCCTACCTTGGTGATTTTGACTGCAGCAAAGCTTTATCTGGAGTTTAGGAATGGAGAAAATTAAGGAAACCTCAAAAATGGCAGTAAGATCAATAGGGCTGGTAATAGGGTACTTAATTCTATTTTGACTGTAATAGCAAAAAATTAGCACCAAATATTATAAACTTCAAGTCCTTAAAATTTCTGTCCTCCGTATCACCCATAACATGAAGTCCTGGGCACCCAAGGGTTGAAAATCAAAATGTTTATTTTTTTTGAAAAATGTAAACATCAACCAACAAAGAAATGAGCTTGTCAAGTATTGTATGATTTCTGCATTTTTAAAAACTTGAGAGTGCAAATAGTTCAACGGAATTTTCCCCTATTTTTTGAACAATATTAACCAACGAAAAACGAGCTCGAAGTCGGGTATTTTGAGCTCCCATTTAAACGCGTGTCGACAGGTCATCCATAATGGCCGCCGTGGACGCCCGTTGGAGAATGGCCACAATGTTGACCTGGCTTTGTCGTGGCGGCGATTTACCTCTGCCGCGTTCCATAGTCCGAGACAATAGGTTACGACGATGCCAGGTCAACATTGTGGCCTTTCGCCAAGGGGCGTCCAAAGCAGCCATCTTGGATGACCCGTCGACACTCGTCTAAATGAAAGCTCAAAATACCCGACTTCGAGCTTGTTTTTCGTCGGTTAATATTGTTCAAAAAAATAGGGCAAAATTGGGGTGAACTATCTGCACACTCAAGTTTTCAAAAATGCAGGAATCAAACAATAGCTGACAAGCTCAAATATCTACTGTTTTGACAAGGACAGGAAAAATTCTAAAATGATAATCTTCAGCTCAAAACAGACCTCCATGACGCCCTAAGGACCAAATTTTGTATGAATTTCCACAAAAAAATTCCATGTCCCTTTAGAAATCGATCCGAAAGCTGATAATTTCATTAGTTTTGGCATATCTTGAAGCTCAGCCGCAAATCATAAATATAAATTGCTTCGAGGGTATGTCAGGGTGCATAGAAAAAATTGAAAATTTGAAATGTTACTCTTTCCAGGTGGCAATCGATGGCACTAGGTAAAAATACATTTTGGCCAAAATTTGGTCCAGTTTCATCCATTTTTATTGGTGCCAAAGGTAAATTTTGCGATAATATTGTTATTTTTTAAGTTTAGACCACGATTCTGTTCAAAAACCTGTTTCTGCAACGATATCATGCGTTTACATTAAAAATACGGAATAACTAAAATTGTAGAGGACGGAATTTTGCTCTAGGAAAATATCATTGTAAACAATAAAAATCAATTACAAGTGAAAAATTCACCTGAGTTTTTTTGGTCCTTGGAATTTCTGAGGCCTTACAAAGTGCCAGTCTAAAGAACCCATTTCTCGCTAAAATGAGTTGGAAAAGGGCAACTAACTGTAGGCAAGTGTTGAGGATATTTTCATCAGAACCTCCTCATCTGACTTTCTTTTCATTTTCCCCAAGAAAGTTTTTTTGCTTGAAAAGCAGGAGACTGAAGTATATCATTCGGTGTTGATCGTGCGAGCAGTGCGGCCGTGCTCTTGCCGGAGAAAAACTAATGAAAATTCGCGAATGTTTTGACTTTCGTTTCGTGAACGTAAACGGACAAAGTCAACTCGTCGCGGTCGGACAGCGCGCGCAAGGCGCGGATGCCGTGCATGACGGCGCGTAAACGTAAACAAGTGCGATGATATCTTATGTCGAGTTCGCATAAAAAATGCAAACACGATGTTGTGTGTCATTGGAAAGACAGTCGCGTCGGTTCATCGGCTATGAAAAGTGCCTTGCCCGATGAAGACTGGCCCTCCCCAGAGCGAGTCTGTTGAAAACTCAAACACTTACAGCGATGCCAAACGCTGAAAATATATATCCGTTTCAGGAGAGTTCGATTTTTTCGAGATCGCCTCCTGGGACACCAGGGGCCTGAAGATAATGCTAAAGCTGGCACAATGGTGCATAGGAACATGCACAACCCCTTCCGGACAGCGATTGCGGTTCGAATAAGGGGGAGGTAGAGATCAAAAAAGCAGCACAAGGAATCCTAACCACAGATCCTGAAATTGTCAAGGGAGACCATGCATTAACTGAAACGGCGAAATCGTTCACTCTGCAGTCGATTTCTGTTGTTAAGTCACTGCACGATGAAAATATCCTCGCAAAAAATTTTATTCAAGAGTGAAAGGCCCTCATAGATAAAATGCGAAGTGATAGTAAAGCTATGCAGGCCGAAATAAATGATCTTAAACTAAATCAGCCGCAACCTCAAGTGGCCAACAGCAATAAAGGTAAGGGAAGACAATCAAGGCTGTCAACAAGCAAATTTCCTGACAAAACAGCGGAAAATGTGGAGTCCTGCTGCTAGATACGGAAACGGATGATGATTTTTCATCGGGTGACTGGCCGAACTACAATTCAGATCCGGAGTATCAAGGCAAACGAAGGACGACAGCGAAGAAAGTTGAAAAAAATTACAAAAAGGAAGAGGAAGGATCAATCCAGCCCGATCTTTAAAGACGCTTCTAGAAGTGGAGCAGACGTCCAAGCTACACAGGATAAATCCAATGGTTCTGAGCCTAGCAATAATAAGTCAAATAGCTCTAATCTTGATGATAGGTCCACAAGAGTTCTACCACTCCCTCCCACTAAAGTGGTAGGAGTTAAAAACTATCAGGCAACTACGCGACTTCTCAAAGAAGCGTCTGATGAAGAAGAGTATGTTCTAAAATTTTTAGGAAGTGAAACCTGGATAGTAAATCCCTCTAACGACGAAACTTTCAGAAATACCTATTCCTGAAAAACTAAACGAAAGAGAAGTACAATGGTATTCTCACTCCAAAAAAAACACTCGGAACATCAAAGTATCATGCAAAGGTCTCCCCCCCCCCTCCATGCCTGAAGATGAAATTGTCTTGGATCTCCTTTCAAAACATTTCAAAATGAAATCAGCCGTTTGCATGAGAAAAAGAGTAGAGAAACAACAGAAAAAAATTAAAAAATAGTTATACCCATAGATCCGCCAGCTGATCCTCTATCTACCTACCACCCCCCTTCAAACGACCCCTTTGGTAAAAACATCTGAAATTCAAACCACAAATGTTAACCCTAACAAGGAATTGGAACTTATAAAAATACCAGGTCATCAACTTGATTTTGACTATTGAGAATCAATAGAAAACATCCATAAGATCAAAGCAATTGCTCATACTATTGCTCAAGTAGAGCCAATAAAGATAGATAACAGGATAGTTCCACGGTGCAAAAGATGTTCGGATGTTGCGATGTTCGCTAAGTTTTTCAGATACCGCCAACTTTTGCAGAAAAAATCCACGGTGTGTCAAATGCGCAGGCAAACATTTATCTCCTGAGTGTCCTTTTAAGGGTCGGATCTTAAATCCAAAATGCGTCAATTGTGACGCGATCGGTCATCCCGCGAGTTATCGCGGATGTTCCTTCGCGAAAAAATTTCAAGTTGCCCGAAAAAAGCAACTCCCAGCTAAGAAAACTACTCCTGATAAAAAAGTTTTCCAAAACTAGGGAAAAATATAACAACTCATGCTCCTCCAAAGAAATTAGATAAGACTTTTTCTCAAGCATTATCTGGCAATAAAGCTAATCCGGCAACACAGGGCGCAGGAGACAGTTCCGCCGCTCTGATCGGTGTTTGATTACAAACAATCGAAACTGTAAATGCTCAGCTCAGAACCGAGAAAATGAGTAAACTTGAAATTAGCCAGAAAAGATAAACAATTTCATACTTCTAAAATGTGTGACAATGATTTATTTGACAACTCTTCAATGCCCTCACAGGAGATAGAGCCCGTCATTGATTTCGATGATTTATGAATAGTTCCAGCTCGAGTTTATGGCAAATCATTAACATTCTTGGCGTGGAACTCAACAAGAGAGGCCAGAGAACAAAGAATGTTCAAAGTATTGACAGCAACAGGGATAAGGTTTGGGGGGTGGGAGAAAGTTCTCAAATTCTACTTTCTGTTGATGGAGTAGATTTAAGAACTTTCTGTCAACCCAAACCGCTCGCTTCTCCCCGAATCTTCGCTTTATCCGGTCTCTCTTGTTGAGTTCGCTGCACCCATCAAGTAAGTAATGGCATAATTTTCATGGTACCTAAATGCATAGAGTATAGAAGAACCGTCATGACCAATTCTGAACGAAATAAAAATACAGACCTTGAGGTTGCAACGCCATTCGGGTCATTTTGACGAATTTTAAATCGTGAAGCTGGCAATGCTGCAACTCTAAATTGTTCAATTATACTTTTTCTTATCGAAAAATCTGAGATTGCACATTTTTCGTGAAATTTTGGAGGAAATCACACCTCAAAACCTTCATTTTATCATCAAATTCGATATTTCAGAGTCCACAACTTGGCAACGCTGCCGCGGGGGCAAAAAATTGTGTATGGGCATGAAAATTTCAGAAAAGTCACATCTAATACCAGGTGACAACATACTTAAAATTCAGATCGGTCAAGGCAAGGATGAGGGAGAGGGGGTTTAATTTGTCGCCCCAAGGCCAATTTTGATATTTTACCCCTAAAAGACCACAAAAATGCGATTATTTTTCCAGGAGCTCCAACAACCTATTTCGAAATTGCCCAATAACCCATCAGGGAGTACCCCGCTACAATCTCCAACTTGAATTTCTGATGTACATTCAAAGTGCATAATAAGTGAGTTCAAGCGCACCGTGCAGGGTGAAGGTCCAGGAATTCAATGTCAGGCTGAAGGATTTTAATGTGGACATAGCCCTTCTATCGGAGACCTGGTTCACCAGGACCGATTATAAAAGGTACTTTGTTGGTTACAAAATGTACAACTCTTTTCATCCAGCAAACTAACGTGGAGGTGGATCATCCATTCTTATTAAAGAAAATATCAGTCACAATCTCATTAAAATCATAGAATCGTATGCATTTCAGGTTGTTGTTGTAAATATCCAAACTGAAATAGGCACTTTTAACATATAGCTCCTCCTTACACTCCACCCCGTAATGTAATCACAACAGATGATTACACTGGTTTCCTGGATGAACTGGGTCTAAAGTACCTAGTTGGCGGGGATTGGAATGCTAAAATCGCCCAATGGGTCTCAAGGATAGTCAATCCTGAAAGAGAATTCCTCTTAGAGGCTGTAAATTGGTCAAGTGGTAATTTTATTTCACCAAGTAAACCAACGAACTTTCCATCTGTGCCTGGTCATCAACCTGGCTTTATCGATTCTTTTGTGTTTAAAAATATCAACCAGATCGATCATACATCTTGCGACACTTTAGAGTCAAATGACAAAGGGCACGCTAAAATCAACTTAGAAGTTTTCACTAACCCAATTCTCGAAAATCGCCCTCCTGCAATTTGTTCAAAAAGAACAAATTGGGAAAAAGAACCCTGCACAGAGCATGGGGGTCAGTGGCTCTCTCTAGAATTTGATGAAACTTTAATAGATTGATATAAAGTTCACCATTAAGGGAAAGCCAAAAAATTAGCTCATTTTCGCGAGTAGAAGCCGAGATATTCGCAATTGAATCCGGACTATTTTCTATCATGCCGCAGCATGGCGGCAGAATTCCGAGTCCCCCTCCTCTCGTTGTTCGGCGTTCTCGATCAGACCTCGCGCGTAGATAGGTGCTTATGCGCTTGGCCGGTGCGAGATGCGGCGAACGCACGGGGATTCAAAGAGGGTATACGTGAGAGGTGCGAGAAGCAGAGAACTCCATATAGCACAGCCCGAACCAGGGACGAGTTCTATAGGACGCCGTTCTGTTGTGAGCGGGTGATTGCAGCGCATTCTCGCGTAGGATCCTAGTCAACTCAGAGGATCCTTTCCCCCGAACCTCGACTCATCCATCGCCCGCTCCAAAAGTGAGGTTAAGCCGGAGATTGAAAAATAACACATAAGGCGGCGGAATTCTTGAAAAATAAATATATTTTTGGCGTTTTTCGACCCCTTTCGACAAGGGAGGGTTCGCCGCGTGTAATAGAATGGTGACAAATTCGATTTTTTGCAGTTATACGCGATCCTACGGATTTTAATGAAGTCCAACAACTGATAACAGCAGTGAGTTGCGTGGATCCCACGCGAGATAGCAGCACTAGTACCTGCTCACGAATTTTTACATTGACTCTTACGCGAGTCCAGGGTCCTATAGAACTGGTCCCTGCCCGAACGGAGCGTCCTAATGGAAGGAGTGAGTGTAAACAATGCAACATCGTAGTTACCTGGTGGGGAGAGGGGGTTTCCTGGCCGAAGTGCTCAAGCAAGGTAAGGCGACGCGGA